ATTTGTAAATAGTAATAATAGTAATATTGTACGTATATATTGGTACCATTATTATTGCGCAGGGCTACGTTTCACAGAAGAATATAGTGTGCTGGTGGGGAGCGATGTGGTGGCAATGTGTCATCCAAAGTTAGTAAGGAATCAAATGTTGCTAATTTGGACCGACCATGATGCTAGCACGCAACCCATTCCATGTTGTGAGGAATGGGTTCATGTGACCCCTGCAGAGAAGTGCTGCCCCTTTTACCACAACATACAAATAAGTATAACCCATAAAAACAAAGTTTTTCACTCTAAATCCTTTATATGCGTGGCGGCTAGAGTCCTCTCGTCCTCTGGCTTGAGATGGCTGCCACCTATGGGTCAGATGATTGTCTGCAGTATTAAACAATTGGTAATTACATATTTAATTTGTTTTACCTAAACAGTGTAAAATTTTGGAATTTTTTTTTCACGAACATTAATTGTCTCGCACAACGAGTCTGTGTGTAAAATGTCAGCTCGATTGGATCACGGGAAGTGGGTTAAAAAACGACCGAAAGGTTTGCACGGTCGTAAGCAAGCAAGCAAGCACGCAAGCACGCAAGCAAGCAAGCGAACTTAATATAAAGGATTTAAAAACATTTCGATTTAAAGCTTTCGTGACTGCACGGATTCATCTTCTTGGTTCTTTCGGTAAAGTCACGTAGAAGGGTCTTCACCTGAGGACGGCTGCTTGCGTTGTGGCCGAAACGTCGTGAGAATTATTTTATTATGTTTTATTTTTATTATTTTATTACTTCCCTTCTACGTGACTTTACAAAAAACATGTTTGAATCGAATTGCCACCCAACTGCGTGACAATTCATTGAATCACCGGAGGAGAAATCGCCACATCCCAAACTATAACCCTGACAAACGTCGTTCGATTCATGGCCATACACACGGCTAACAGTTGTATAAACATCTGATATGTATGGCGAACTTATTTCTCACCGTACGTAGCCAACCGTGGAGGCCTCGCATAAGCTAGTTCTTGCCTCGGTGAGTACCTGTTGCAATGTGGTTGCACATCAGCCCCGGGCAGACAATGGCGATCTAGCGTGAAGCTCCGTGCCGTGTGCAAACGATTGTGCCACTGGCCCACCCTACGTTAAATTGGTGTGACTGTAAATTTCATAATTAAATACAACTATGTACTGCATATATAGCTATTTTAGAATGAAAATAGTGCCTTGGTTTTGTGAGTTTGGGAGCAAGGTGGGTTATTTGCGTGGTCAATAAACGGCTTCCAGTGTTTCTTTTGGGCCAGCTCGCCTTCAATACCGCGCACAACTCATCCTTTACAACATCTGCATAGAAACATGATGCAATGCAAATGTTATACCACTTGTCTGGTTTTCGTTTTATTTGAATGAAACCATACATTTTATTCCACTGTGGAACTATCTCTAATGGTTGGCTCTCAATAATATGCGGCAAACTGTAATACCGTCATGGAAATGAATGTTTTTTTGTAATATGATGCTTTAAAAAGGCACGCAAAGGAATGCAGAGAGAAATGCAGTCGCCAAATATAATGTGGCCAAAAGCAGTGACCTCAGCCCTGTATCTTCCTTGCAGAATTGCTTCAGCAACCTCAATTTCATTGATGATTATGAACATCCATCTGTATTGTTAGAATAAAGTGACTGGAGGTGTTTATATATTAGGATATTGCATTTGCTGTTATTATATCCCTAACATCTGTATTACTTGAAAGAGTATTTGTTATTTTAGTCGTAGTACAGTGTATAGGCAATATACATAATATATAGTATTTATGAATCCATTACAGTTTTACTTATTTTCTTTGGTTAAAATAAAGTCTTCCCTTCTGCCCTCAATTTTAGAGTCAGCTTTGAGATGCTAATGCATAACGTTTCTTCTACAGTATTCATATGAGGTTAATTTTGTGGTGTACCACTTTCGCCTTGTACACAGTACCGTTTTCATCTTTCTCAACTTGGGATCTGCAAAACACGAATAATTGCATCGTTGTGGGGAATATAAGTAACAACATAAACAAGCAGACAATACACCTCATTCCCATATCTGTCCATCCACGTAAAAAAAACGAAGTATTTTTTACACATCACATCAGTCACATGGCCTTATGGAAGTGCATCACTCACTCTAAGCTAGTCTTGACAATCATTGTTTCATCGGCAGTCAGGCTTGCTTGAACCAATGCTGGTGAACTGTCAGATGTTTATAGACAAAGATATGGGTCCTAGTTCAACCAAACACTATATATAATACACGAAATACGAGAAGGAGGAATATTGTCTGATTATATGTTTCGTATTCTACATATGTGCTTTCTTGAGAAACAAAGTTTGCAAACCGGAATATGCTTCAATGGTGATTCAATTCCACAAGCGAGTGCAGACTTTGTTGAAAGATGAGCACACTGCTGCATCCAACCATTAAGCAACCAACAGGATGCCAACAGCCAGACTGTGTGTGAATGTCGCTCTAATGTGTTTGCACCAGGTGTTATTCGGCAGGATGTCCAATTTTTCACTTCACATGCTGAGAGCGTCTTCAAGAACTAAATTCCTTCAGAAATTCTTTCAGGAATTCAGTTCCTGAATGAGTTCCCAGCACACGGGAGGGAAGCATCCGACATCTTGCCGAACAAAGTGCGGTACAACCCAAAGACACATCAGAGGGCTTTACAGCACGGAACCACAAAAGCCTACGAAGTTGCTTTGAATAACTGACACGCACACTTAATGGAATAGTTGCACTCTGCCAGCTGTGTCGGTCAGCTCCACAACATGAATTAATCATCAGTGTGACTCTCGAGGCAATGCACTCCATGCTTGGCCATCGTTGAAACGCTATCAAAGCGCAGTTTTGTGCAATCTGTGATGAGTATTTTTGCAGGGCTCTGAGTGGTGTGATTGCCACAGGGGGTACAACTTCTGCTTTTCCTTTTTGCAACGATTGTTGGGACCCGACCGTATTTTTCCATTCTCTGGACATCAGTGCCCCACGGCTTTCTGTTCAACACAAAAGAATACATTTAAAATAGAGATGTCCTCAGAAACCCACCCAAATGGATAGTTTGGGTACTCTCTTGTGTAGATCCACCAGTCTAAAGTGTAAGTGCTTTTTTGATGAACTATTGCCCTTTCTCTCCAGTAACTCTGCAACACTGGGTGCCTTTATAACGTCTAACTACCTCGCATGGTAAACAGGAGGTTGTGGGTTCGATCCCGACCCTGATGATGCCTATATGTTAGAGTTTGCACGTTCTTCCCTTGGTCGCACAGATTTTTCTCTGGATCTTCCGGGTTTTCCCTCCACATTTAAAAACGCGCGTTTAGAGTCCTTGGCTGATATACATTTCCACATGTTAAGCCACTTCGTTGAGCTATCATTTCTGGCCTGGTCGCTTCTGAAAAAGAGCTGCATAGCTCAGTGGGCCTTACCGGGTAAATATATTTTTAAATAGGATGTTCTTGTGAAAACAAAAACAAGGTAAAGGTGCAGCACTGCAATTACTTGATGATGTCACTTCTGGTAGAAAGGCCGTCACTACAGCGAACACTGGAGAGCCCCACTATGGTGTGGCACATTAGGAATGGATCACTCTTTTAATTATATCCTTGTGCAGCAAGGGAGTAAAGTGTGGTTCTGTGAAAGTCCTGATGTGCTGTGCAGTGCATCAATGCATGTGTGTACAGCAGCATGTGGTGACTGAGTCGGGCCTGTAGGTGGCTGGCAGGGTTAATGAATAACCGCACGTGTAAACCAGCCACGTGGTTAATGGCGTCTCGGAAGAATTGCTGCGTGTAACACACGTGTTGTTGCATTTTACAGAGTGACGGTGCGTTTTTTCACAAGATTAATATTAACTACAATAAATAAATGTGCTTGCCCTCGATTTGGAGCACCTGCCCACGTCCTTCATTTCGAGTGTGCAACACGTGGTACATGTTTGGTCTCCGATTCCACTCTGACCTGCTGATCAAGTAACAGTGGTGTACCCATGTTTACCGCTCGGTGAACGTAGATTGAACCGGCGACACCTGGATTTGAAGCCCAGTATGTCAACTGTCACATGACGGCAACACCGTTGGTGTTCTTGAGAATTGGCGATTCGTTGCAATGAAAAAAAACAATCATTCCCCACCCCCAGTCCTATCTCCAGAAATGTGATGAATCGTTGTGGTTCTGGTCACAATTTTATTCAAAAGGAATTTTCTATTGTATTGTGGTCAATGGTAGCAGCTCTAATGGTCTCAGTTCTGATGTGAACCCATTACTTGCAACATATATTTAGTGCCATTTGTCAATCCACTGCTGGGTGAAGACCACCCCAATAACTTGTTGGTTATGAGAGTTGCGTGACCATACTTTACTACGCTGGTCAATGTGTGTTAGTGAATCTCGCAGGGGAGGGAAAGGACCTGCCCAGATATCACATGCCACTGTGAGCCACAGGTTTGGAATCGAACTAAGGCCACTGAGTTCATAGTGCAGTGTGCTAACACACCACTGCTCTACTGCTCTACCCAAAATACAACACATTAGAAACAAAACACATCAATTGTTACTTCTTACACATGCCGTATAATACATGTTTCCTAAGCTCTCCAACATGTTTTCAAATGGTACCAGTTATAACCAGGAAACAACACTGGGGAGCGAGCCAATCAATGCAGCAACAACTGCAGAAAAATCCCACACAGCCAAGACGTCGCAAGCTGAATAATCACACTCATCGGTGAATCAATGTCATTGTTCCACCCATCAACAGAAATTCCCGATATCCCCGCACAAAGCCAAATAATGAATTTTGCCTCCAACCCAAGTGGAGCTGCCGAATGGCCCCAGGTGAAAGGGCCCTTAAACGGCCACTCCACTTGTAAGTGCTGAAAAATGCAAAGTGTCGCGCTTTGCAGCATGCCCTGCTAACCGCAAACGCCCTGATATATTTATTTATTTCTTCTTTTCCTCCTTTCCCTTAGCAACTCCCTGGGTGGCTCCGGGAGACGTGGATTTGTTTGATGTCCGCAGGCGGCCGTGGTAAGCGCTCGTGAAGCGGACGGCCAAGGGCCACCATATTTCTTGCTCGCTTACCGCTTGATTCATTCATTCGTTCATCCAATCATTCATTTTTACGCGTAATTTATTGCCCCAGAGCTGCCTTTAATGGAGTTGACTGGTTTGAGCATCGCCGCATAAATCTTATCCCTGCAATGCAGAGTTGCAGCCAATTTCCTAAACGTTTAGATCATCGCAGTAGCGGTCATAATGGGGGCATTACATGTAACTAGCTGTGATGTAATCGTATGTGTAGAACATCACATTTTGCGTTTATCATGGTAATAAAATATTTACTTAAATTTTTACATTAAAGTCATGCCCAATATGGGTGTGCACCCACATATATATAATTTATACCAGCATGCTACCAGTTTATACACTTTGTGGTACAATAAAAGATGACATTTACTGTGACAGAGTTTCCAAACACATTTTAGCCATTTATAAACATGTACTATTTCAAATGTGACGTTTATATAAAAAAAAAACAACGCTCACATTACACCCAGTCTTTTGGATTCACTGGAACCAACGCTGTCTTGATCGTGAATTTATCCACCGAACGTAGATTCCTCAAATAGCTACATCAGAGACTGTAGTAGCATGACAATCGATGTAATCATTGTTTTCATATCATGATTCAGAAATGAGCTATGCCATGCCCTGCATTGTTTCAATGTACAGACAACTTGACGTGAATTCTGGAGTTGAAACCAATGAGAATGCTCATGAGCTTCATTTTATCTCAGCAGTTCCTCTGTACAAACATAATGAACAACATTACGGAAATCGGCAGTATTTATTGGAACGCATTTAATATTAGCAAAATAATAACAATAATAATCGTAAACATTCCTATCATGACTGTACGCAAGACTTAAAAACAGAAAATGGCAGTAAAAATAAATAAAGTAAATTTGAAAGTACTAAAGTTATTGTACCATCTGGCCTAATTAAAGATTGACATATAGCAAAAAAGAAAGTAATTTACAGCGTCTGCCTGCAATAAAGAATAACTTTATGCTGGGGGACTGTGTGATTGATGTGTCCGGCAGTAATTTCCACCTCCATCGCAGCACTCCTGGCATTTTCATTTACCTTTATGCCTGCAGCCCCGGTCATTTCGAGAGGCTCTTGTCCCTCAAGCGCAGAAAGTCAAGCAAGCAAACCGAGCGTGCCGGGAAATGCTTCCCGTTATGGCTTGAGGAACAAGCTCACAGAGAGACAAATGCTCAAATGTCTCAAATGCCATCACTCAAAAGCGGTGTCATCATAGTTCTTTGCCGCCAATAAAAAAAAGAGCTAATAAAATGAAAAAAGTTGAATTTCCATTGCCTCATTAAGAAACACATTTTCAAGACGGAGCAGTACGTTACTGATAGAGGAAAAATGCAAGACTGCTAAGGAAAAGTATAGTTTGCATTGCATATTGGTATTTAAATACATTTTAATGTGGGCGATTAAACAATCCCTCCGATAAACGGGATGTAGTTGCCGTGCTATTAATTCCACGCTCAGTTGCTGCATTCGACGATTGCCATTCATGCACATGCACGCGTGTTGGCATGATTTGTGTTTCTTTGCAGGTACATACAAGGGGCCTCATCTCCCAAGGACATGGTGATCATTATAGACGTGTGAGTACGGAGGAGCATGGCAAATGACAGCCGTTTGCAATAGCAAAAATTTCCCCTCGGGCTGAGTTGGCAGAAATTTATTTTGTCGCGGGGTAGATGTTTGCCACAGAACTGCTCTTGTTTCAACATGTTGTAGACGTTACTCATTAACGTGTTTGACATGCCAACTCAATGTGCAATAATAATATGACCATAGATATATCTGCAATCATTATCAACAGCTACTTTAATTTTGTTTGCTGGATGAAGGCTAATCCATTCGGCGTGTATAAATTTGCCTCTCACAATTCAAAGAATTGTCACGATTAAAAGTCAAGATTCGATTAAAGAATCAGATGGGGGGGGGGGGGTGTTTATATTGTGGTGCATTGTCGTACCTCTCGTGCAGGGTCATACTGACCATTTACACAATGACAATTACTCTAAGAGCAGTGGAAGAGGTGGTGCAGTGGTTAGTACACTGCACTATGAATGTGACGACCTGAGTTTCAATTCCCGGCCACAGCTAACATCAGTGGCAAGTGACATCAGAACCGATCTCGCTTCCCCTCCCCCCACACTTCACCAGTATGATTGAAGTATGGTCAAATACAACCAGTGACTGACAAGGCATGGGAATTCCATCATCCAATGGTGGATTAAGAATGGCCGGGATTTAGTTCATAGTTGTATTTATATGTGTATAATGAATACAACATTATCGATTCTTACACACGTGTTTTGATGCATGTATCGTGAGTGTAAAAATCTATTTTTTATATACATACAGATGAATTGATGCGTCATTACATGCCCACTGGCCATGATTGATGCCACTACCCACAGTGCCTTGCAGCATCATCCCATCGGGTGACCATGACTTCATCACTACATCTCATTTTTCATCACACCTTCACGTGTGCGTCTACTCTCTTTGCTCGCAATATTGTTTCGCCGAGAAGGAATAGAATTAGTTTTATATATCTAGAAACAATGTACTCTCTATAACATCGTGATGTATTTTTCAGGTGTAGTTGCGAATGGTAAATACTAGGGGTGTTGCCATCAGATTCGGTCATAATCGTAAATAGCCCAACCCCTGACCTCCCCTTTTCTGCCAGTTCAGGAGATCAGCTTAACATTGCTAATGATTGGAATTTATCAGAATGAAAATTGGATTTGTAACAAAAAATGTCATTGGATTATGCCCTATATTTATTTATTTTAAATCCTATATCAATTGATTGCATGCACAGATAAACATTTTAAACCGTTATGACATTAAGTCGCTGTAAGCCTTCCATAAAATAGTGTTTAATGAAGTAAAAGTTTAAGCGAACGTCTAAATGTTATTAGATTGCGAATAGCGCTAAACAGTCAATGTAGAATAACAAACATGTTTGTACCTTACCCTGTCCTGGCTTCCAGAACACTGTTAAGTGTGATTCTTTTTTTATGTGTGCCGATATATACACACACATATTTATGGTTAAAAATTACTGTGTACATGTAAAGATGCAACGCTGCTCATGATAAAGGTAATTGTCATAATTCAGGATCATGAATCGATTTAGAAATCGATTTTTTTCGTCTCGCTTTACCACCACTTGACACATTTAGTTTTTGTCTTAAGGCAGTGCTTGTGATGAATGTCAATAACACTTCCTCGGAAACTTAACACGTTCGTCAATAAAAGGAACAATGTTTCAAAGTATTCTGTATATTTTTGGGCACGTTATTGACGAATGCGTAGACATTGTTGTTGCGTGTATGCTTGTGCACTTGCTGCCAATGCAGCCGCATCACCAAATAATGTGTTTCATCTAACGCACATCGTTTGCATGAACACAGAATTTTCACACACTCGTGCTGCTAAGTGTAATGTCAACACTGGCTTGCCCTCACCACAGCAATCAGCAAAGTCAATTTGTCTCCACTTGTAAACAGGTTATGAGCACCACGACTCTGTATTTTGACTTAGCTTCTCCGAGGGCCAAAAGTACCGTTTGCAATGGAGAAACTTTTATTTCATGCGTATCCAGGCGAATTTGACATATGCAATATATCGACGTATTTTTACGCATTACTTGGTGATGGTGCTGCGTTGACAGTGTTGCACAAACACAATTAACAAAACAACAACAAGAACGCAACACATTAAACATTAACACTATCATAAAAAAAGTGTTGAGGTTTTTTAAAAAAAATTGTTGGAATAGTAACTGCGTATATCTGTGTAATATTTATGTAACTAAATTGCGATTGTAGTCTGATCAGTCTAAAGATAATCTGCATGACCCAATTCACATTAAAGGGCTTGTATTATTTAACGTTGATTTATATTCTATTTGCTTCACTGCTGTAATTTATTTTTGCTCTTTGCCATCTTGGCGACTCGGGTAACTCTACCAAATGAACCAATCCTGGTCCCAGGAGGTGTCACGTGGTTAAAACAAAATGAAGTGCAAACCTTGAAACATATTTCAACACCGCGTGCATGATATACTAAAATGTGAAGCTGCACAATTTATACTTTGGGGGCTCCAGTATTAAAGTTAAACTTTTATTCCTAAATATGGGAAACGCAGTTCACGTTAAACGGGTCTCTTGGCTTGTTTAATTGAGTTGTATGTACTTCAGAGTATGTTAAAACATAGTAGTAAATGAAATGTCACATCAGAGATGCGATTGTAACATTCCATATGTATTGCCTTTAATCAAACTGAAACGTTACTTAACTTGTTCGCAGTGAAGAGAGATTTTTATTTTTTACTGTAATGTCAGAGTTGTTATCATCCAATTTCCTCCTTCACTTTTTTTTTTACCACCCTTTCATGACATAAAATTGTTTTCAAGCAGCAGTTGTAAAACAAAATGAAAGTTATTAAATGTAACGCATACAATCATAAAGTCTAGCCGGTGCAGTAACCATGGTGAATTGCTAATTTGATTTGCCTATCATACACTCCTGTCAACCCGGATGTGTGTGTGCCAGTAGTTAGCGACTCTTCACTCTTTGCTAAACAATCACCGTAAATTGCCTTTCTTGTTATGGGTAGGCCATGCAATGTGCTCGTACTCTTTGTATAAGTTCTACTTGTTTGAGTGGCAGTCAAACGGTTTTGGGTAAACTCTGATCTTTCTTTGTGGCGTAACGGTGCATCGAACTCGCCAACACATGTTCAATTCTGAAGCTCTCAATACTTGCATCATATTGTATGTGTATTTGTTTTATCACTTGTGTTGAATACAACGTGTCAATGTGATCCCCTGCTGCCACTAGAGTCGCTACCATTCTCCACAATGTTAAAATAATATCCATTCTTTAATACAATCATGACCCTGAAATGTAACTATTCATCCAATCAGTGGGGGGAGGGGGGGAGGTGCATGCATCATTACACCACTAATATCGATAATGATTGCACGTCATTTTTCATCATGGTTATCCCTCAGATCAATGCATGTAATAGATAGAGCTTAGATATAAGCCACTGCACATAAAAAGACTTTGCTTCAAATGCTGAACAAATAGTTGAGCAATGTGTTTTTATACTTATATATATTGCGAGCACTTCAGATTTATACTGTACAGTATATATGTGGCTTCAGGCTCCTTACTATAGCCCCATATCCAGACCATGATAATATCCTATAGCCTATAGCCTGGGGCTGTGTTTTAAATATTAGACCTCTGAATTACATGACCTTCCTTCCCACAACAATTTTTTTCTCGCCATGAGCGTGACTACTAGAGCTTCCAGTCACATTTCATTTTCCTAAAAAAAGAGCAAAAAAACCCAGAAATATTTTTGGAACATTTTCAATTTCACATTAAATATCTTCAAAACATCAATGGCAAAGATTATAAGTAATATGCAAGCGCATTTTTTGTTTGAAATGTTTGCAAATATGATTGTTGCCATCGCTGTGAGTGTTGCCAGTGGCCGTATTTTTTTAAACTGTTTACTGTCTTAAACCAAAAATGCACTATCGCTTTCAGCAAGGCAAACAGCAATTAGCTACGGGGGTCTTTAAAAAAGTTAAAGGAAACAATGGCTTCCTTTCATCAAACGAAAGCCATTGAGTGGTGCTTGTGGTGTGCTTACTTTTGACGCATTATCTGAAAGGCATCACCATTTGGGGTGAAGATAAATTCCGATCAGATAACCGCCACCAAAACCTTGAGGTCATCGTGTGCTGCTCGAAAATGTATTACATTCTCGCAAGCGTTATTCATGTTTACTTTCCAACAAAAAAATATTTGTATTTTTTAAAATAGTTTTAAATTATACTTTGAAAATAGAGTGCACCTGGAAAATGTATCATTATCTTCTAAATACAATTCAGCAATTGCTTATTGTGTTACAATGACCTTGAAGACGCAAGATGAATAAAAGATGCCTGCTTTCAGTCGTGCTGCATAACAACTGGGTTGTTTTTCCTTTATTACACCTTGTTTGCATTGCTTCAGGAGCGGAAGTGTCAGTGGACTCACATTAAAACTGATGAAGAAGTCGGTGTCTGAAATGCTGGAAACCCTTTCCGATGATGATTACGTGAATGTAGCATCTGTAAGTATTGTGCCTCAGACATTTCCCTAAGGTACAACCAAAATAGAAAAGTATTATTATAGTCTGATGTTTGCTCGCCCGGTCTTCAAATAAAATGCATTACCATTATTTCCATGTGGTTATTGTATCGCGTACGTTAAAAATACATGTGCAATTAATGGGCTGTTTGCTGATGGCATTAGGGACCAGGAAAATGCTCTGTAAAGTTTTTAAAATGAAATAACCGATGGCAGATATTATTGTCCATAGAGATGTGTGAAATTTAAACTACACTCCAACTATTTAACATTTCACAATTTAAATACGCACGGTGTAAACATTGTATTTAAGCGTATAACATATTGCAAACGAATGAGTGTTACAAAAAAAAGTCCCTGACATTTAACTTTTTTAAAAAATCCTTTATATTAAGTTCACTTGCTTGCTTGCGCGCTTACGACCGTGCAAATCTTTCGGTCGTTTTTTAACCCACTTCCCGTGATCCAATCGAGCTGACATTTTGCACACAGACTCGTTGTGCATGACAATTTATTTTCGTGAAAAAATTTTTCCAAAATTTTCCACTTTTTAGGATTTTTTTTTTCATATTTAATTTAAAATACCAATGTGATAAAAATGAAACTCTTACTCAAGAAAAACAGAAATGAATAATAAAATAAAACCGATGCCACGCATATAAAGGATTTATAGTGAAAAACTTTGTTTTTACGGGTTAATTTTTTTGCACGTGTGTTTTTTGTCTATTGTTTACTTATTTATGTATTACACAGTTTCACAACGAAGCCGTCCCGGTCTCCTGCTTCAAGCACTTAGTGCAAGCCAACGTACGCAACAAGCAAATGCTCAGCGAGTCCGTGGAGAAGCTGACTGCCAAGGGGATGACGAACTACAAGGCCGCGTTTACGTACGCGTTTGAGCAGCTCTTAAACGTACGGCTTCCTTTGAACCTCGCAGGGCATGCTAATCCACATATTTGGAGGGCTGGAGATACGGCGCGGATGGAGGAGAGACATCCCCTCTGAAGTGCTCACAATTGCGCCGTTAATTGTGCAGAGCATACATATGTAAGAGAATCTGATTGTGAAATAAATAAGTAATGTTCGGTACACTGCTTAATTACGATTTAAACAACAACAATCCATTAAATTAAATACTGCTTTTGTGATTGCATTGAAATGAGAATTTAACTCCGTTTTTTTGCGATAATTCAAAAAAAGTCTGTGGTCTGCAAATGTTGCAATAACCATTGTAATTAAATAACTATTTATATAAACATGCATATCTCTCTCTCACGTGTGACAATTGACATCACTACCTATACGGTCATACAAGAGCAAAATACGTTTCTTCAGCTCTCCGATGTGTTTTTAAGTTGTATCACCTGTTCGGCTTTTTGTCCCACGTTGAAACTCCACGTGCTTTTAGCTTCTTCAGAAACCAATCTGAAGGAACGAAAACGAAGCTCCTAGCCTGTGGAGCGTTGAAACGTCGGAGACCGTGCCGAACAATGCGCGGTACACAACCCTGGAAACCACATCGGAGAGCCGCAAAAGAACAACAGTGAACACTTGCACGGTAGTGAGTCCCTCGGTACGTTGTTTCTGCCACTTTCTTGTCTTTTCCCCCATGAGCAGAACAACGTTACCCGAGCCAACTGCAACAAGATGATCATGATGTTCACCGACGGAGGAGAGGACCGCGCCCAGGACGTTTTTGAGAATTACAACTGGCCCAAAAAAGAGGTGGGTTTTTTTTACCATCATTCGCGACTGTGGCGTATGGCTCTCCAGTGTGCCGACCAGTTGTACTACCGTGTGCTGTCCAGCATGATGTCCGACGTTTCGCCGCGCGAGCTGGGAGCCTGTCCGGTGCACCCTGAAAACACATCGGAGAGATGTGTTGTTGGTTGGTTGTGTTTTGGCCTTATTTATACTTTTAATTCAGTTTATTTTTAAACTGCGCATATTTCGGAAACGCCATGGGTTAAAATCTGCTGCGCGGCCTCATTAAACTTTGCTGCAGCCTCATTATCTTTACGGTGCCTTTACTGCCCTCACCACATCTGCGCATCCGTTGTGGCTCCTGACAGCACTAACATCCGCAATACCTGCAGTCTCATGCATTTGTCTGCACTGACGTAAGCACATGCTCCCATTAAAGCACTTGTACAGCAAACACCTCCTTAATTAGCACTCTGATAACATGTGCTCTGCTTTAATTACTGTAAAATATTGCGTTTTCCCGTACATAGTTGTGCTATATTGTTATTCCATAATGCAATCTGATCGATGAGAGCCATGTGAAATTACACATGATTTGCAGTACCCCATGCTAAATTTAGCAAAACAATGCTGAGATTATGTAATTACCACGAAAAGTTATGTTTTAAACAATTAACTTTAAATAATTGTAAACATTTTACGAATCGTTACCAAGTGCAATTGCAGGCGTTTTAGAGACACGTAATCTTTTCAGTGATCGCGAGATCGAATTGCTTAACAGCCACAGTATGTACGCTTTTGTTTTAATGATGTTGCCGTTTCTAGAGCCACAGATGACACATCTGCTCTGACAATGATGATGATCTTGGTGTTATATACTTTAGCGTTTTGTTGGGCTGTAACACTTGACATTAAAACATTCTCAGATATTTTTTGGGACTCCCAAAAGATTACATCCCACATATGGCGTCGGCTTTCCCCCCTCCCTCCCATGCTGGGCTTTCATTTCTGTTTATGTTCTCACTTCCCATAGCACGTGAATAAATGATGAGCTCTGAATATTCACCACAGAAATATGGAATATAATAATAATGGATTTTTTTCACCGTTTTCTCTAAACTTAATTTTAAAACCGCTGCTTGGAAAAAAGTAAATAGTCATCTGCATTACTGAACTTTTAATAGTTATAATGGTTTTTTTTTTAGTATAATTTCTAAATTTGACAATTAAACACGTATTGATAATAGTATGCCTATTGATAAAGCACAATTCCAATATTGTGTTATCAACGTAGTGCTTTTTATATGGTGACAGGTCTCACCATGGTTATTTCAGCATTATCTGCATTCACCTATTCTAATTTGCATTTTGTGCCCTAGCACTTAAACAAGGTTTTTTTTTCTCATAGAGAATTCTTGGCTTCTATTTCTATAAAATATTTCTAAGAATTGGTGTTTAAATTTCAAGTGATTTTGGAAATGGGTTAAACAACAAGCTATGTTAAACTCTCAAAACATTGGGCACTGGCAATGCCAAAGAAAAGAAAAAAAGCAGATGATTTGCTGACATTTCATGCAGTGCCTATTTTTGCTCTGTTCTGAAGAAGAATCATCGCCTGAAACATCACCACATTTTTTTTTCTGTTCGAAAATAGTCATAAGGATAATTGTGGTATTTTTGTTTAATTAGTTGCTCAGGCACCACTGCCAACACAATCCATCCTTTTTTTTAATTACAAAAAGCATTGAAATCTTGCGTTTAAAATGGAAATTATATGCAGATTGACTTTGTTGATATCAGGTTCAGCTCGACAGTGCAAGTATTTCCAACACGTTATTGCGTTATCGGTTCAGTATGGTCAATCCTTACTGAGGCAAAACCAATCGAAGTGTCTTAAGATTTTTTTTATGTTCAGGTTTTGGGTTGATTTTTCTAAATATGCTATCTTCATTTTTCTATCAAATATGACTACATATTTTGACACGTAAAATTAATGTTGCAGGATTCCCAAGGGTTCCTGTAGTGCCCTGTTCTCAGCAGTGTTCACATATCCCACCCATAGTGGCATCGTGGGGTACGTGTCAAAAGGAATGACAAGTTATACATTTATTTTATTCCAATACCCCACCCCCACGACCCAATTAGACATAAATAATAAACCGTATTGACGTGTGGCTGGACTCTAATATGTACACACTAAAAGCTGTGGATATCCATGGTTTGTGGATATGTGAAAACATTTTTGCACTATACATGTTGTATTTATATTATGTTACCATTATTTCTCATCTGGCCAGCTTGGAAGTGGAGGTCAAATAACCACTAAAGGCCCTCTCTAGAGCTTCCTCTAATGGAGGTCCTTCAGCCAGCAGTGATATGAGCAAGTAATTGCAGGGCTGCACCATTTTACCTATTATTTCATAATTACTAATTACATAATCATGCTGCTATACAAAGATACCGCAATGAAGTTATCACAATAACTGATGCAATGGCAACTGATACATGGAATACAAAAACGAGGAAGACCAGATGGGAAGAGACAGCAGACAGAGACTTGGCACCTTGGGATCTAACAATAACAACAGATGACCTATCACCCGATGGGAATATATAGCAGACAGAGGCTTGGAACAATAGGTTCTAACAACAACAGAAGACCTATGACCAGATGGGAAGATATAGCTGGCAAAGAATTGGCACAATGGTTTCTAATAACGACAGAAGTCTTATGACTAGATGGGAAGATATAGCTGACAGTGGCTTCTAACAATGGGATCTAACAACAATAACAGCAGAGAAGACGGCAAAAAAGATCTCAAGAGGCAGAGGGAACTGTGTATGGGCAGCACGTACAGAAACACATTATGCCACTTGATGATGATAATGATTATTTCAGTATTCAGTTCAAACAGGTGACCTGTGTCTCTTGCTCATCCCAGATGAATTGAGCAGCTGCTCTGGTTGTGGACCCAACACAAGAGCACAAATTCTTCGATTCCTCGTGTGAAATACCCAGCAAAGAGGCGCAGCTGATGATTTATTACACTTCAAGTAATCCCAGGTGGCTGGCGGCTTTCTATGCCTAATTGACAAGATGTGACGGTGCGATAATGGGGGTAATCGGACAGGTAATTAATAAATACTGCAGCCAATGTCCTAGAGCCGAGAGAGATGAGGGTTGGTGAGTGCTTGATCGAGTAGGTTAATGTATTTTTTTCCGTGCACGACCCTCCAGGCTGTAAAACATCTTAGGGCTCTTTTTGTTTTGCGCACCTTAATGAGGAGGTACGTAATTGCCACAGAGCACAACAGTTTACATCACAGTCACCGCATTGCTGGGTACCTCTCAACAGCGATATTGCAATATTCTGAATTTTTATTCTCAATAATACTCGAGGTCAATTTCAGTGTTCCATGTGTGTGTCTTTGATTTTTTTACAAGGCAATTAAAACATCCAATTTTTGTGCATTAAGCAAATTATGCAATTCAGGTAAAAATGTATAGGGTTAAAGCAATGCAACCACATTGCTCCAAATCAACTGCTCGCACACAAAACTGCTTCATATGTACTGCGTCGTGATCAATACATTTTCTATCTACGTGACTTTACCGAAAGAAGCAAAGAGTATGCATAAAAAAACCCATCATGGAAGATATTTTCGCCTGCGGGAACACAAACTATAAAGACGCATCCACATGTTTCCCGCAGAGAATTTGGTGGAATCTCTGTAGCATTGCCCAAATTTTACTACAGTATTACCCCCCCCCCCCCACCATGGGTGGTCATACTAAAACTCTTGGTTGCACAAAGGGTACAAAACATCAGAGGTGGGACAAAGTCATTGTTATGCAAGTCCAAGTCGAGTCTGAAGTCATCAAATTCATGACTCGAGTCTGACTCGAGTCCTAGTCACATGACTCGAGTCCACACCTCAGAGGTGGGACAAAGTCATTGTTATGCAAGTCCAAGTCGAGTCTGAAGTCATCAAATTCATGACTCGAGTCTGACTCGAGTCCAAGTCACATGCCTCGAGTCCACACCTCAGAGGTGGGACAAAGTCATTGTTATGCAAGTCCAAGTCGAGTCTGAAGTCATCAAATTCATGACTCGAGTCTGACTCGAGTCCAAGTCACATGACTCGAGTCCACACCTCAGAGGTGGGACAAAGTCATTGTTATGCAAGTCCAAGTCGAGTCTGAAGTCATCAAATTCATGACTCGAGTCTGACTCGAGTCCAAGTCACATGACTCGAGTCCACACCTCAGAGGTGGGACAAAGTCATTGTTATGCAAGTCCAAGTCGAGTCTGAAGTCATCAAATTCATGACTCGAGTCTGACTCGAGTCCAAGTCACATGACTCGAGTCCACACCTCTGCAAAACATACACATCTAGAGCTCCATTCACTTGGGGGCAACATTGCCTTTCTTTCAGGGAGGGTGTTCAGTTTATGTCAACAAAAGAAAGAAAAAGAGTTGCCCCAGCCGGCTTGATAGAGGTGACATGTTGATAAAATCGGTTGCGATTTGATGTTGAAAACATATCCCCCCGTTGCATTGCAGAGCTTGCCACCCTCAGGAGAAAAACATGTCGGAATGACACCTGTTTACATGCCTCTGTTGAATCTGACATGTACACAATCCTTCATCGCCAAACATGTTCGTTGTCTGTGGCTTGCATTCACTTCGAGAACCAGGATTGGAATAAAAGGATTGCTATAATTACGCGGCCAATCCTAATTGGCTGTTTGAGCAGCAACGAATTCACATTATTAGTGCTGTGCTGTTGGCGTGGGCCGTTCAAGCTCAAGAATGCTATAGCAGGTTTACACCATCTTAATGGGACAATGTTAGGACCGTAAACCCGGGATGTCTCACACTAATGCGTTGCTCGAGAAGGAATGCATGCAGAGGATTAATACATTCGTTGAACAAAACAGTGACAAATACAAAGCAAGGGAATGCATTCCTCGAATCGCAATAATTAGAGTAGAATCTGTGTTGGCCTACGGCCGTTAAAGGAGAAGGCTGCGTCTATAGTTTCTGTGTTGAATCAATTAGACAGAGAGGGCTCCTCTAACTCCCTGCATGCACTGCAGTGTTGTCTCAAAATGTCGTCCCTTCCCCTCCCACTTCTCTTACAGGTGCGGGTGTTTACCTTCTCCGTGGGGCAGCACAATTATAACGTGGCCCCTATTCAGTGGATGGCCTGTGCCAACAAAGGTAAGAGACTTGCACGCGTTCATTCACGTGTTATTGCTGTGTGGTGATGCCGACTGCCAAGGTGCAAACCGGTGATAGCTTGCTCACACGACTGCTGCCGGAAGGGTCTCTACGAGTTGGTGTTTGGCCTACGCTTCCACACAGGCCAGACGTCTTGGAAGAGGTGGGAGTAGCCACCTTTGACCCCACTGTGGTGCAGCCATTTATTCTCCTGGGTGGAAACAACTCGCCATCTTATTGAACTTGCACGCCATGGAAATGGAATTGATGCAGTGACCTTTGGTTTTGCAAGTCGAGTGTGCTAACCATAGCAGCACGGCGATGTCCCATTATTAACGTGCTGTGTGCATTATTGCGAACGAACATTACGGTGTTGTATAACGTACCCTGCACGCGTAATCATTTCTATAGTTCGCGAGGGCAACATGATTCAAAGTATGCCAACATATTTCAGGAGGGTTCTGCTTGAGATGTTTGGCCAATTCCTTGAATATTTGCGAGGATACAGAACTCACAGCCAATTGCATCACAATATCTCTGATAATTGGTTGTTCTTTCCCGTTACCAAAATGTGTATTTGTAGATAAGTGCAATTGATATTTTATCCATACGAGTGTTTGGCCAACAAGAACTACAATTGTATGGCATAACTCAAAATAATCATTAGCATTGTGGAGAATATAATTGACAAAACATATAAACAAACAACGTGTAATCTTAATATATTTGAGTCTCAAAAACTGGCAGTTATCCAGCACTGGTTCAAACAAGACTGACTCTGCTGCTGATACACGATGTCGAAACTGGTCCAGAGTTTGCTTGTGCTGATTCAATGTTGCTGACATTATTCTCTCCCAGAAGGCCATGAGGCCAACTGGGTTGGGTAAAGAATACTTTTCTGTTTATGTTGATAGATATATAAAGAAGTAAAGCCTCTGCTTATATACGTGCATTGTGTTCTTGTATTGATGTGATTTCTTTGAAAGATTCCCTTTTTCCCAAATGTTTGTCACTAATTTAAACATTTGTTTGGTTATATTGATATGACATTATTAAGGTTACTGCATGGTACAGATAATTAAAATGGCATGCCATTTTTAAATGTCAGATGTTTTTCTCATGGAACAATGCATGTAGCATTTTCTGATGGAACTTTAACATTTAATACCCTTAAGAAAAGCAATACCACTGCCATCCCTGCATACTGTGATGTCTGAAAGATCAAACCTTGAATTTAATCTTCTGCTTGGCTGCTTCAGGGTTTTATTTTGAAATCCCGTCCATTGGCGCCATCCGCATTAACACTCAGGTGAGTCTCCGATTATTTCAGCCAGTACACATTTTTGCAGTATTTTGATTGTAAGTCATGCATTAAAGCTACTACAAGTGCACTGATCCAAATAACATCAACTTGGATTCCATTAAACTGGCAGCTTAGGTAATTCTAACCAGTGTAATTGCTTCCAATTCAGAACGTTTTCTCATCCTAATTTTACTTGGCTTAACGTGTTTTATGGCCAATCACCGTTTACTGCATGGCGTGTAAAGTATGCCCCTTGATTGGATATAGTGTGAATGTAAATTAAAAAGGTGCAGATATTTATTAAACGTCATCATTATTGGGGGTGTATTGACAATTCTTTTCATGCAGACGTTCTTAAATTTGTATTGCATGAGTAGCAAGACGTTATTTGCAAGATGACATCAGGATTTCATATTATCTTCATAAATAATGTTACTTTTATGAAAGCAAATGTGCTCACACATACTGTAATTGTATAAATGTACTAATATCTTCCGGTTAAACTTACCAAGATGTTAGATTCGAAGCAACATAAAGGTTGTTTTTTTTTTGACAAAATATTTCCAAGGAATACAAAATTCAACGACAAAACACTTTGTCATTTTTCCCACAATTGTATCTTGATTGTGTTGTTGGCATCATGTCCCAAGATAAGCCTCCGGTTGGATCGCTTACGCTTTTTTATTTTTTTAAACACAACATGTAAAAGACTTAAAAGCCTATGAGTGTACCGATAGTTTATCATAAGAAGCAAAACGGTAGGGTTAAGCTAAATGGCACGCACCTTAATGGCAAAGAAAATGGTAAGTGTGATGATTCTACGGGGGCAGTGATAACTCACGATATCAGTGAGGGGTTTACAAAGGATTTGAACTGAAGGGGTGAATGGAAAATAGGAGTTTAAGCTTGTAGACAACCTTGCTTCATGAATAAGAAACCACAAAGCTGAAGGCTTTTACAGCCACCGATACAATGTCCCTTGGGATTGTGCAGGGAAGGGAGGGAAGTCGTAGATTCACAAGAGTTGGACTGAGAAAAAAAAGTTATTTTCAATGACAGAGAAGGATATTTCATCTGTCACTAAATAAACACGTGATTTATACATAAGCAATATTTTTTTTATATTCGAATGAAAACGGAAAAGAAATGAAACGATAGTGTTTATTAAGTGGGTCCAAATAATGCTTATATTTTTTTCCTCAGCAGGAATAAATGAAAGGTTGATTTACATGTGGATACTACGAGTGTAGATTATCGATATGAAACATGTGGAATATGAAAATTAATAGGAAGTATGTTCATCTTCTTGGTTCTTTCGGTAAAGTCACGTAGAAGGGAAGTAATAAAATAATAAAAATAAAACATAAAATAATTCTCACGACGTTTCGGCCACAACGCAAGTAGCCGTCCTCAGGTGAAACCAGGTCTGTCGAGGCGACAGCAGTCTGAATGAAACAGCACACGTGCTTGGAGCATATATATAAGCTGGGTTGGAAGGAGGGGGGAGGAAAGGGCGCCTTGATAAAATAATTTGCATATCAAGAGGAATTTAGCATATTTATGGGAAATGCAGGTATGTGATTAGTACTACTTATGTCCGTGCATTATGTAGGATTAGCAGCATACAAGGGAGGGGTTATGGGCAATGCAGCATTGTGCCCATGGTGGATACTGCTCACATGAGCCACCCCAGGTGTTACCAACCTTCCCATTGGCTCATAAAATGAAACTGAAACCCCATTGGCTCATGGGCCATGTCGCATGGCTTAGCATGAGGTATGAACCACAGGCCCGAGTCATGGGCCGCCCCACACTCGTCGACGAATGAGAGAGGTGAGCCGCTCAGAATACAGATGAGATGTTTGCCACAAGAGCGAAAAGCACATTTCATGGTCTTTGCTTCATTATTATTTAATATGCATTTTTGAGAATGCTGGGTTGTGATTCCAAAAGCAGCAAGGGAAAATGGAAATCCTTCACTTGTGGAAGTAACCAGTGTTGGAATTGGCTGTCCACTGGGCATGTAAGTAATGATTACAGCAGCGCAGGAAGATTCACTCGAAGTGTATGGGCAATGTGGCAGTACCCCAGCACCCAGACTGCGTGTAACAGTGACCAAATGTGGTAGGCTTTCCCGCTTTCTTCCGTTTCCAGTAAATTGTTTGGGATTTAAGCTCCCATATCACATGGCCGTGTCAGACGTGAAAGGCTGAACGTTAAGGGTGGATGGACTGCTGCCACCAAATGTACAGCACATGGAATATAACAGCAGACCAAAATTTAAAAATGGTCTTTCTTTGTTTGGTTCAACCTGAAAGCAGAACCATGGAAATAGTCAAACTTTGTTTTATTTTAATTATCATTGCTTATCCCAATGATTGCTTTTAGCGGTTTGGCCAACAGATTAAGCCAACTATCTCAACAGAAGGGATTTCTCTACTTTGTATTCATAGTATATATGCTCATGATGTTACATGTTGGTTCATACCACTGGCACACGATTACCCACCCTTCCGATTAATGCCACATCTTCTTTAATGTACATGTTACAGCAGATGGTATGCTTTCTCAGTATCCCTCACCATTACATCTCAGATATTAAACCACTGCCACTGTTGCAATTGCAATAACTACTGGAATAATACGGTTTTCCATTCACAGTACTGTAGTTTGATATAATTCATCATTGCAACCTCATACCATTGTTTTGGTTTTTATCATATATGCCAGTAAATTACTTACAGTGCCTCTGCAATGTATTGACTTATATGAAACAAATATTAGACGTGTTCTTTTGTTTATTCATGATTTAAAAATGGTGTGAAAATCTAAACAACTTGGAGAATATAAGTTACATTTTTAAAACACTCGGACATTTATAGGGCTAGATTGTAAGAACACTGCCGCTGTTTTCTGAAGATATTGTTATGGGAGAGAAGTTCAAATACTGGGCACTGATCTGCTTAATTTAGCGCACATTTAGCTTGACACATATAATAGGCAAAAACATTATCTTTTGCGCTCATTCCACACACGGTCTCAGGCTATGCATGCATGGTAGAATTTGCTTAAATATCTAAATGACTGCAGTTCATATGTGTGATGGCACACGGTGGCAAGTGTTATTGGCTATCGGTGAATAGAGAATCAAATCCCAGACACTTATTTTCTTTTGTGTTTTTTTGCTGTAATTTATAACAGCATGTGAGCTGTTAAAAATTGCAATAATAGTGGAAGATGTCACGTAAATTACCTGTAGGTTTTATTTTGTATTTTGCCAAATCAATCTTGCGAGGCTTCGTGCGTTTATTTATTTATTCATCACCCGACTACATGTGGTGTAAAAACTAGCTTGTGTGCGTGCATATGTATAAAGTAGAGAATTATTGTTTTAATATCAGCAGTTGGGTTTTTTTAGCTGGCATTTTTTTTATAACTCGGCATAGAATAATGATACGGTCATTCCTTTAGATGTCAGTTATTATGTACTTTGTAAGGAATATATACATATATTTAGCTTCGTAGCCGCTGTTGCTTGCGAATAAGCCATCGTTACAAGTCTCAACAAAAAGAACACACCCCTTTGTGCATCCGCTAAACTGTTGACAGCCGAGCGTATCAACAGTTCGGAACTTGGTAACAGTTGATGTCCTGCCAGTGACTTGATAAGAAAAGCTGTTAGCCTTTTTGGTTCAAGCGATGGCCCATAAGACGATGGGGGTCACCTTTATCCCCTCTGAGGGAGGACAAGCGTTACCCCATTCTCATTAAACTCTATTATCTTTTGTCAGCAAATGGGAAGTAAGGTGACTTGATGGGAAGGGGGAGAAAAACACCTAATTTGCAAGCGGCAGATGCATCAGCGCGGAAGGCGATTGCAATTTATAAACCCTGCGATATCAAAGTAGTGTTGTTGCGTGCAGCATCTATCACTTAGGCAGTAAATGAATGCAAATGTGTTCATCACGTGGGTTATCTTGAACACTAACTACGGTGTTTCGTGGTAGGAAGTAACAATTCTCTTGCTGAAGCCACACATTTTTTGAGATGAGGATGATCCACGGCGAATGCGGTTTTAAATCTGTTCTACGTGTTTTTTGAACATGCTGTGAGATTATGCACGCAGTATCTCTCCTGTGATGGGAAGAATAGATTGGTAACATTGAACGTCAGCACTGGCTTTGTGGTGAGAAGTCGCCAGCGTGAACGCTACTTATTTTTGGATCCTCGTGCGGTTGCGTTACGATCTTTGTGATGTCCTTGGGTACATGGACGTAATGTCCTTTTAAAAAAAATCCATCTGGACATCCAGGACACCTGCTGTAATACAATGGGCACAATGGGTATCATGAGCCATGCGCTCGTGCTGTTCGTAAATTGTAAGGCTGAGATAGTCCATACTGAAGACATGAATAGTGTAGGATTATTTTGTGGAGTGGATTTGGTTTTTGAACAAAGTGTAACAACAAATGTTCTTATCCCATTTGTGGAGTCATGAAAAAAAACACTTTACAGTTCATCAAACAAACATAATATGTTTGCTTCCCTATATAGATTTTTTTTCATGTATGATTTTCTCCAATTTTATTCCAAGCTTAGCTATCGGCATCATTTTTCGAGATGAAGAAGTGTCTATTCAGAACTCTTGCAAAGCAATGCACCACTGTATATTCGATAAAAGCCTGCACAAGCTGATATCACAGAACTACTTTTGAAATTACTTCAAATAACCTGTTATTCACACTAGGGGCATTAGACATTTGCACATGCCCTGTTATAGAGACGTTTGTCATATGTATGGCAGTCAGCCTGATTTTTGTATGTCTCTCCGTTGGATTTTTTTGTTCTAAATTATATTAAAAAGATCGGGAAAATGTTATGTTATTGTGACTGGCTTCAAACATAGAATCTCAGCGGTGCTGGCTATGTGCTCTGACTCTATAATATAAAATTAATCTCCATGGGAGAATCCAGTAATGCCACGCTGTCACCCCCCCCCCCCCCCCCTCTAAGGATATCCTTACTGTAGACTACGGATGATAGAGCATTAATACGACTCCTTGCTGCTTTCTTAAGGATTATCTGGATGTCCTTGGAAGACCTATGGTACTGGCAGGACCCAAGGCCAAGAAGGTGCAATGGACAAATGTCTACAAGGATGCATTGGTAAGGCATCGCACGCAAACCGCATTCAGACGGTCTGCAGATAGCATATGCCACTGAGCATATCTGTCAGGGTCTGCCAGTGGTAGCAGGTCACTGCATTTAATTGGTTAAAATTGCATGACTTTCTGCAATGTTACGAATCTGCCGCATTTCACAAGGCTATGGCTGGAAATGATTAGATGTTATGTTTACCTGGAGGTGTTCTTTTTTTTACTACATGTGTTTAATTTAGTAGGCATCCACCACACCTGCCCCAGAATGTCTTGACTGAAAACAAAAACGCAACCTGGATGCAGTAAGAGAGATAACTACACACACATGCTCTATGAATAACATGTTGCCTGAGTTGGGCTTTCAATGCCCAGAGGACAAAACACATTTTCTACAATAAATAGGCCAAAAGAAACCATATGTTGTATAATTGCACATTTTACCTTTTAGATTTTTTTTTTACTAATTGTTCCATATGCCAGAAAAGAATACATACAGTATAAAAAAAATGGCAAATTCTTTCAGATAAACACAATCCTCACGCTCTCGCAAAAAAAAAGTCGTTTAATTTAGCAAAGAAGCAGTGTAATTTGTTACGCGGTTCCGATTAGCATACAGGCTTTACAGTTGACACCGCGCAACTGTGCATGCAAATTTGAAGCGTAGTGCTCCGGTTCTTGGTTGCCTTGCTAAATTATTGTGTGACACAAATGCTGGGGAGGTCAATAGAATTTAACAATAAGGTGCACAAAAGAGTTACACAAAGTCAGTTTGTCATTTGTTTTGCAGCCGCCACCTTTATGTGCTGACAATATAAATATTGGGTCGAGCAGTGGTGCCAGTGGTTTTACCGCATTGCACGATGAACCCAAACATACCTAAGTGTTGTAACCAGCAAATTATAATTAAGTGGCCGGTTCCCCAACCCCACATTCACCAGCATGGTAAAGTATGGTTTAAAAAAAAAAAAAACTCCCATGAGTCACATGGCTTGGGGAGGCCTTCATGAAGAAGTGGATTGCCAATGAGCTGTAAATTATTATTATTATACATTATATTAAATTTCACACACATTTCTACCGAAGCTATTTAATAATCAAAAGCTTGGATGTAGAGGACAAACCTGTGAAGCCCTGAAAAAAAGAATCCAGTTTAGAATTGCATGCTATTACCAGAGCAAATCACGTGAAATTCCCAGCCATCTGCTTTTGGGTTTGTTGTGCAATCAATGGGCAAATAAAATTCCGGAGGTGAGGTGTTTGTCCAAATCTTTACTTACAGGCAGATGAAATGTGAAGGCAGTATAAACTGGTGAGCAGCGAGGTCATCGAAATGCGCATGGTTATTTAATGCAGTCGTTTTATGTTTCGCAGTGAGGATCGGTGCCTTTCGTGTCCGTGTATATTGGCACGCTAAGCGTGTGAAAACCTGTGGCATTAAACACGGGTGAACATTCGCATTGTGTCTATACTGGTGTCAAATCCCATACATGCCCTCTGTGTGTACTTGAATCGTTTGTTATAGGTTTTTTGGGGGGCGAAACATGGGTGAAATTATGAAGCCATGCAGGATTTTTTTTTGAAAGTTAAACATCATTATCATTTCCATGATCAATACTAGTTAACAATATCATCATTATAATCAGCCATGGCGAATCCACTGCTGGATGAAGGCATACCTCAAGTCTCCGGCATCTCCTGCAATCCACCCAGTGCATGCAACACGAGCCGATTTCCTTGCTCCAAGAAAACCGGAGCACTCGGAAGAAACCGTTTAATGTCAAGAGAATACACTCAAAGTTGCGCACAGATAGAATCAAGATTCCATCATTGTTGTACTACCACCTCGCAACCCCAAGCTCCTGTAATTGCAGTCCCGAGTAACCATCGTCATTATTTATTTATGTTGCTGAGGGCACAAGATACCGAGATTGCAACGCTCACCCCGCCGTTCCGTGCCGTTTCTCTTTAGAACCTGGGTCTGGTCATCACTGGCACCATGCCAGTGTTCAACATAAGCAAGAACGCAGGAGAGCAGGTAATGGGGGTATGGGGGCGGGAGAGAAACTCATGCCAGTATGATTGGTAGGTGTGCTGTGATGTAGGTTAGGCAACAAATGGAGCTTGTGATTTAATGAAAAAAAAACGTCCGTTCGACTTGTAGCGTTTTTAAAAAGCATGCTGCATTTTTTAAAATACATTTGAAAGTCTGTAGCCAGCTGCTATAAACTAGAGCCCGTGGTTCACTTACCGTGGAGGAAAGTGTGCTGCTGTGTGCGTGCTCACACTTCGCGGGGCAACAGCTGCTCGTGACTTGGAGACTGCTCAAAATTCTCCGTGCATCTTCGTTAAACTGCACATGCGATGAAAATGTCAGATGCCCAAGTTGCCCAACGGTGCTGCTACGTCACCTGCTTGTATGTACTGTATGTATGTTGAACTTCTTCTGCGCCGTACGTAGCCAACCGTGCTCATCGGAGGTGCGGGAGAAGGACAACAACCTGAGCGCAAAAAATGCAATCACCGCTTTGCAATCATAAACGTACGAGGCTGAAGCCACGTGTTTAACATGGCACTCCAACGTGTTTTCGGGTTGTGCCGCGTGTTGAACAGCATGGCGCCTGACGTTTCGCTCCACTCGATAATGCAGAAACCGAATATTAAGATTTTAGGTACAAGATAAAAAACTAAATACTGTAGAGAGCCGCGAAAAGCTACGCAGTACGTGAGATTGTGTAACTCTGGAGTCCTCAACCAGGGTCTGCGTAACGCTGTGGGGATGAAGGTATTTGATTTTGCCAAATGCAAATATGGGATTCGCAGCGGTCAGTCAAGTGCCAACAAGTCAGTGAGTGTAATTGGGGATCCATGGACCGATCTGCTCTTGTATGTCAACAATTGGTCTGGCTTCATCCAGAAGTGCAATCATACATGTGTTTCATTAACTTCGCATTTACAATTGTGCGTTACTGCTCACTGAAAAAGGGGGGTCTGTGAAATGTTTATAATGGTCATGGGACAACCTTGTTCTGCAAAATTTTGAGGCAACCATGAGGCTAATGTGGATGAAAGTTGTACACAATCGATGTTTGATTAAAATCTGGGAGCTACAAGGCCTAGGACGTGGCCAAGGCTAGGAGCCTCTAGGTCGAGGCCAGTCGAGGCTGGTCAAGGCCAGGTCCTGTTTGCTTAGGCCGGTGTTATTGCCACATATATTTTTTATATTGAGGCTGATGTTGTGGATGGTGCCTCCAAGGCCACGCCACCAGGGTCAAGGTCAAGGACAAGAGCTGAGACAGTCCCCAAGCCAGCCTCAAGGCCCAGGATTAGTGTTGAGGACCCAAGACTGGTGAAAATACAAATGTGTGGGATAGCCATCAGTGTGGCCTCCCTACAGTTTAACTCCTGCTTTTGCTGTATAAATGTGTATGTTTACAGTCCGTCATATATCCACCACATTTACGTGGATTGTACAATATGTCACGCCTTCCAAACACAATCATATCAAGCTGCTGTAGTGGCACAGACCGCATTGTGGTCAATATCTGTCTTATACTGTACTCTAATTATGATGTGGAGGGCCATTCGATATTGCAGATCATATTTAATGATTATATGCTCTGGATGAAAAAAATATAACAAACTGAATCAGGTGTGTGATAAATGATGAAGCTATTTGTCCTAGTAGCCAATGGTTTCAGAAAGGGGGAAAAGAATGAAGATTTGTATTTCATTTTAGCAACGCAGACAAAATATATTTTTTGGTTTAAATATTAAATCCTTGTTATAATAGCTTCTATTTATCAGTACTGATTTTTTTATTGTTTGTCCAAATTTTCGGTACAATATCTTGATATTGTTTAGCAACACGGTGAGTATTAATTTTCAAACTTCTGTTCTCTGGCTGACATTTTGGTATTAAGCCTTGTGTGGAAAAAAATACCGCTTGACATTATGGAAAGCCATTTTCAAATAACTTGCCAACGTAATGCGTGGAGGAATTATAAAAGTTAAAATGGTGCACGAGCCCTTTCATGTGCTGTGTTATGGCAATGCATAATTTCTTTTTTAAATGGGATTTCAAATTGACCTCATTGATGTCCTCTTCCTGAGATTTCACGATAGCTGCATTTTTTCTTACGTGAGCCTGTGGGTCACCACATCCTCAAGCAGGGCCGAAATGTGCAGCAACTTCTTTGTTGCTGTTTATTGCTGACTGCTTTGCGTTTTTTGGGAGCCTTTGTCCCTGTGCTTTGTAACCTTGAGAAAAAAAATAACTTTTTACGACGCTCGCAATATAACCTAAGCTTACGTTTTTGCACTGTCTCATACTCAACACTTTTCTTGTGATGTTTTGTCAAAGGTTGTGAGATACTGCATACACATACATGCAAACCGTGCTGTGTCTCTTGACGATGCTGTTCCCAGCAGAACCAGTTGCTGCTTGGCGTGATGGGAGTTGACATATCGCTCAACGAAATAAAGAAGCTCACCACTCAGTACAATGTGAGACCTGCACTATCAAAATAAAACAGTTTGTGTCATGCTGAAGAGCGATATGATATTTTTTTTGTAGGTTTCATACCCGGAGTGGATTATCTAGAATAGTATAAAAATACAAATAAGGCATGCGGGTTGCACATTTTTGGTCCTGCTAAATGCATGGGGAAATGCTCTGATTGTGTCATTCTGTGAGACTAAAGCAGCCTTGTAGGTTTGCTTGATCCAAGTGGAGGTGTGAAAATGAACACCCCCCCGCCCCACCCCTCTCCTCCTCCTAATCCACTCTCATCCACACTTACCTGAAATAACACATGGTGTGTATGTTGACACCTCTTGCGCAAGCTGTCTAAGCTGCAAGCAGGCGATACCGGGAAAAGAAACGTGAAGTGTGAACTTTTTTTTGCAGCATATCAAGCGCGCTGCTGGAACAGTGCACTGTCTCTCATCATCAAGTCACAACCATTTGCATGCTAATTGTTAAGCGCGGCCGTTTTATCGTTAGCTATGTTGGTCATGTATTCGAGCAAGACGGCAATTTTGACACGCAAATGTCATCTTCATTGACCTCACTATTATTTAGCTTGTTAATGGTCTGATTTGTGTTCACCGTACGCGTTTGGCACGGCTAAACAATTGTCTGTTTTTTAATAACTAATTGGATGTTAAAATACTAATTAATTTCTCGAGCATTGTTTGTCACGCTGGGGTTGTTGTTTTTTTGTCTGCAATAACTTCACCACCGTCTGCCACGTGCTTTTGTTGATGACTGCAGCTCGGTCCGAACGGCTACTTCTTTGCAATAGACCCCAACGGCTACGTGCTGCTTCACCCCAACCTGAAACCCAAGGTACTGAGCCCCGCTGCGTCTGCTCAGGGCTCCATGTGCACCGGAAGCAGCATCACATGCTCACTAAAGTGCTCGTCTCTTTTTCATAGTGTGCGTTTTTTTTTATGCAGTAACTGAATTTCATCGTATGATTAGGCAAAAAATTGTTGCGCTGAGTAAGACGTGTGTAGGATAGAGGACCGCTGCGGTGGCGAGATGTTCACTCCCTCGCCTGGTATACAGGAGGTTGTGGGTTCGATCCCGACCCTGATGCCAGTATATTTGGAGTTTGCATGTTCTCCCCGTGTTTGCGTGGAATTTGTATCTGTGTCCTCCGATTTTTTCCCTCCACATGTAGGATCAGCATGCGTTTAAAGAATTTGGCTGCTATAAATTTCCACATGATAAGCCACTTAGTTGAGCTGTCATTTGTGGCCAGGTCGCTTCTGAAAAGAAGCTGTATAGCTCAGTGGGCCTTACCTGGTAAAATAAACCTGGTAAAATAAACACGTTCCTTCGGAGTGGGCAGGTAGGAACTTGGTTGGACAGCGCATTCGTGCACGACAGAAAGCTCGCGGTCACGTGCCGCACTTCAACCAATCCGGGAGGGGCTCTGCACGGCAGACAAATAATCCCTGGTGGGCAGTGTGGAACTGTTGTTCCTACCTGTAAAAATAGTTTCATTGCAGTTACCGAGATGGACATTTAAATGGTCTCCATGAGTCTGGCGACCAAGGGGAAGACATCAGAGTAGATGGTGGGAGACTGTCGGGGTGGATATTTGAGGTCGCTGAGTGTCTACTCTGCAGCAGCTGCGGGATCTAGCAGAGAGGAGAAAGCATTGACAAGGTGCAGTGGTAGCTTGTCCACAGTATCTTGAGATTTTTTTTTCTGTTCAATAAATATTATACTCTCTGGTTCTTTCAGTAATGTCACGTAGATAGAAATAAAACACGACGTTTCGGTCGCAACACCAGCGGCCGTCTTCAGGTGAGATCAAATCAAGATTAAATAAATATTGATTTATTTTTTTAGATTGTGTCATGTTTATATATGTTGTCATGTGGGGTTCTTCGATTTATCAAATTGCCTATTTTATTTTCAATTACATGTTAATTTTACCTCTGTTTGTAATCGTCACAACAACTTGCGCTGGTAAGAGCGACTTGGGTCTGCTGCAGGAATTCATGCTGACAAAAGCAACAAAATCCCCCTGTAGGATGTTTTATTTTTATTTACAAGAGCACCTGAGATGATTTCGTGCGGCCAATGAAGATAAGCTATTCGAGATTACATTTTAAATTATTTAATCATTCAATTACTTCGTCTGCGAGTTGGTGAATTGCAGATACCCTGCCCACAAGGTTATATTTCGGGCAGTGCGAAGTTATACAGTCCATGGTTTGGCGATCATCGCTCGCGGTAGCACAGGGGAAGATTACGCTCTATTTTTAGATCCTTTATATTAAGTTCGCTTGCTTGCTTGCTTACGACCGTGCAAACCTTTCGGTCGTTTTTTAACCCACTTCCCGTGATCCAATCGAGCTGACATTTTGCACACAGACTCGTTGTGCGAGACAATTAATGTTCGTGAAATTTTTTTTTCCAAAATTTTACACTGTTTAGGGAAAACAAATTAAATATTTAATTACCAATTGTTTAATACTGCAATCATCTCTACCCATAGGTGGCAGCCATTTCAAGCCAGAGGATGAGAGGACTCTAGCCGCCACGCATATAAAGGATTTAGAGTGAAAAACTTTGTTTTTACGGGTTATACTTATCCACTTATGCAGTTGGTGTCCACGTCTTCCGCGCTTTGTGCGAATCCGGTTAAGCACTGCCCATTGTTTCCGTACCAGATGGAACCCAGGTAGTGTGGTGGTGGGCTCGCGGATGATCTTGTGTGTTGTGGAAACCGGGCATTGTGGTTTCGGGGCCACTGATCAGGTGTTTGTTGTGCACGTTGGCTGAACCCCACGAATTGGTCCCCACTACTTCGATGCTGAAATTCACGTCATGCTGAGTTTGTTGATGTTTCCAGAACGGCTTTCTGGGGAGCACCCGTGCTGACAAATCAACAAGCAACGCCATATTCACAAGCAGCAGCATTGTGCCAACAGTTTATTATTGACCCTGTACGATGCTGAACTGTGGTTGCCACGGTATCTGCATGCTGACATGCGTGTAATGATCGCTTTGCGGTGACACTGACAACTGCATTGCTAGCATCTCAATGTGCCCAGCCTGGTTCTAAATGAACAAATTGATTTATAGTCCTCTAATAATCAGATATCCCCGAGACGTAAATTATATGGTGCAGGTTTTTCAGTAAATGGTGCGCTGATTAATTCTCGCTCTGTGACTGATTGTTCGCGCAATGTGGCTGCTGGCTTCAAGTCGGCGTGAGTCTCGTGCTGCTGAAAGGCACACTCCGCTTTGCAATCCGCCTCGTGGTTGCGAGAGTTTGCCCGTTCCTTGCCTTGCGACACCAATTACTATATTACGCTCCCCATCTCCTACAGGCACTTTCCTCGCAATCTGGAAGATAGTTAAACGGAAAATGTATCTATATCTGTGGTAGTCGTTTTGTGTTTTGGGGGGGATATGGTGAGGTGGGTAAATGTGGATCAATATTGATTTGAAGCTTTCGTGACTGCAAGAATCCATTCTCTCTGGTTCTTTCGGTAAAGTCACATAAGAGCCAGAGAGAAATGTGGACCATTTGCATCATGAGAACAGATACTTTCTGGCCTACCCGACCACAGGCCACTCTTCGATTTCTATTGTGAGCTCACGGTGAATGTCACACGATGTCGTTTTCCATCACGGTTTGTTGACAACTCGAACGCGCCTTTGTGAATATAAGTACGAAGTATACAGTACCGTTCCATCGATAAATGCATAATGTTTATAGCACGTTTCGTGAGATTGCAAACCTCACATGGACTAAAACATGCTTGCATTTCCTTGGCCGCAATCCTCCTTTTGTCCATAACCGCCCTTGCATCTCGTAATCTTCTTGCAACAAAGGCGCAGATGCCGCTGCGAGCCCCGATCACCGCCAGTATGCGGAGGGGATGCAAAGGCAGAGCAGGGGGAAGGTGGGAATCTGCTGCTGATGTGTTTCCTACCAAGTCCGATCAGTCGTGACTTGCCACATGTGATAGAGAGCATCGGCGTGGTGGCAAATACCCAGCAACAATACGCCGAGTGGCCAGAGAGTTCCCTGCAGGGCACTCTTGATGAATGGCAGATTGGTCGGAATGGGCTGTAGGCAGCAGGGGGCACTCACATCGGCCTGCCTTTGACAGGACCTCCCCCGCACCCGTAAGGGGACATTACCTCCCTGAGCACATGAACCTTATGGCGTGACCCCGGGGTCCAGAATAAACGGAAGTCCAAATCGTAATGAATTATTGCATTTTTTTGCCGACTCCGTCCCACCGCGCAACATAAACGCCACGACCCGCCTGGCGCGGATCGTTCTGATGTCGTATCGTGTGTCCAAGCGCAGCAGCAGCGAGGACGAATGCGCAGAAGAAACAAAACTTTGATGAGCGCATCGTGTAGAGCTCGTCGAGGGGGATAGATGGCCCCGTGTCGTTCGCCTTCAACAGACATAAAATGACGACGCAGCGCAGTTTATGCGAGAGCCGGGGGCTTGTGGTGCCCCGGGGTGTCTGTGTGTGTGTCTGTGAGTGTGTGTCTCTCTGTGTGTGTCTGTCTGTGTGTGTGTCTGTGTGTGTGTGTCAATGTCTGTGTGTGTGTGTCTGTGTGTGTGTGTCTCTCTGTGTGTGTCTGTCTGTGTGTGTGTCTGTGTGTGTGTGTCTCTGTGTGTGTGTGTCTGTGTGTGTGTGTCTGTGTGTGTGTGTGTCTCTGTGTGTGTCTTGTGTATTTGTCTGTGTGTGTGTGTCTCTGTGTCTGCCTGTGTGTGTGTCTCTGTGTCTGTGTGTCTCTGTGTGTGTGTCTCTGTGTCTATGTCTGTGTGTGTGTCTGCGCTATGAACCTGGCGACCCGGGTTCGATTCCCGCTCACGGCTAACACCAGTGACGATTATCTGAACCGGTCCTGGGCCTCCCCTAGGTCGACTCAGCCTTAAATGAGTACCTGGTGCGGTGTGTAAACATCGCCACTGGGGAGGCAAAGGCGGTCGGGCGTGGTGCTGGCCACCCACCCCTCGTGTGCCGTGCCGGCCTTCATAGATGCTCGCTAACAGCACTTGCCCCTAGAGTCTGTTAAGGCTACACGGGGGATCTTTGTGTGTGTGTGTCTCTGTGTCTGTGTGTGTCTGTGTGTGTGGGGAGCGCCGTAGTGCAACGGGTAGCGCGCTGCTTCGCGAACTCAGCGACAAGAGTTCCATTACCGCTCACGGCGCAACACCGGTGACGATTCTCTGAATCGGTCCTGGGCCTCCCCTAAGTCGACTCGACCTCAAATGAGTACCTGGTGTGATGTATAAACGCCGCCTCTGGGGAGACAAATGGGAGCCGGGCGTGGTGCTGCTGGTCTCCCACCCCCTTGTGTGCCGTTCCGCCCTTCATAGGTGCTCACAATCGTAATTTGCCCCAACAGCCGTTAAGGCTATACGGGGGACCTTTGTATATATATATAAAAAAAAACTTTGCAATGTTTTTTATATTATGGGCAAAAAAAATCGTGTCGCTTTAAAACAAAGACGATAAAGATGCCGTTAAAACTACTTGCACAGAACAGTTTCTCAAAATTGTGCTCGATACAATTGAGAAATCAGCGTTATGGTACTTTGTGCTTGGTATACTTGAAACGGTGGCGCAGTCTCTGAATGTCAACGCATAGCGTGGTGGAAGACTGCCCCCACGTGGACTTGCCCAGTGTAGTGGCCCAATGTGCCTCCAACATGATTACGTTGCTTTGTTCCCAGGTGACAAAATTTGAAGAGCCAGTCACCCTTGACTTTCTGGATGCCGAACTGGAAAATGATATTAAATTGCTGGTAAGTTTCACTTCCTAGCTTTTGTATATATTAAGAAACGTTTTAAAAATGAAAAATAAAAACGTAATGATTTTTTTTTTTACAAATTACAAGTGAACGCTTTTTTACGTGTTTTCCATCGTTTATCTGGTGTTTTGCTTATTAGATCAGGCAGAGCATGATTGACAAGAAGTCTGGAATGCGCACTTTTGAGATGCTAATCAAATCCTTGGATGAGGTGAGCAGAAATTCCCAAATCCCTTTTGCGTTGCAATTTTCTCTCCAATGTGCTTTCATGTTGTGCCGTGTGCTGCCTGGTAAAATGTCTGACATTTTACGAAATGTGATAAGAGCTTTTGTCAGAAACTGAAGCTCCCTCAGTACTCAGAGAAAAATGTCGGATATCGTGCCATACAATACACTGGAGAACTATACAGCACAAGTAAAAAAAACCTATATCGTGACATTATTACAACATGTGGCTCAATATTAGAGGTAGAATGATTCACTCTCGGTTATTCAATCTAAGAATCGATTATTTTACTTACACTGTGATGAATGTAGCGCCTCAAGTGGCTACAGGGGTCACGTGCACTCATTGCATACAACAGTAATTATGCAAGTGTCATGAACTTTTGAATCAATATGAATTAATTGATGCATCCTTGCAACTCTGCTGAATAACTACCATCTTATGTAACAACAATTGCTAGTTTTACTTTATAATTTCAAGTCAATATTGAATGAAATGTTAATTTCAATTTTTTTATCAATTAAATTTAACAAGCGCAGTATACCATTTACAAATGAGTTTAACCACAATACATTTATCTGGAGAAAATATCTTGTCCTGTGTCATGCATGCATTTTAAACAGAGAGATGTATGTACGTGTAAATTATGGTTGGCTACAACGGGAAATTTCAAATGATGACCGTCTTTATTTTCAAATGTTGACTTCAAAAAACCCGCTGCTCTTTGTCACCACAGAGGTACATAGATAAAAGCATGAGAACTTACACTTGGACACCAATGCAGTCGGCTGAATACAGGTAAGTGGCTGCTTCAGAGCTTTTTTAGATTTCCACATCGTCGCCAAATCATCATTATTAACATCAAATAGCCATTTGAACACTTAAAGCCCGAAAAAGCACTTTGCAATCCGCGGGTCAAGGGCTCAAACCCTGTGTCGCTTTGATGGACAAGTTGTCCTCGTGTCCATGTGCATTGATTTCGGGGCTAATGCCCCACACTTCTGTCTCGCGGAGCGGACTCATTTAAACCCTAAGAGGCCCACATTTCAAGGAATGCAATTGTCGGGGCTTATACAGGTCTTGAGAGTATGTTGGGACGGAGCATCAGCTCTGTCTCACAAAATTATCCACCTTGTGCTAGCGCCATGGGAATGGGAAGGAGGGCTAGGTTGTCTCTTCACACAGTCTTTGTCGAACAAATGTAGATTTCAAGGCGCATGCTTGTGACCATCTCTCATGCCCACCCTGCAAATTGCAGACGCCTTACATTTTTTTCTGGAGGAAAACCCTTTTGTGGTGGCAAGCCCTCATTTATGAAGCTAAAAGTAAAAAAGAAAAATCACAAAACAAGTCAATGCTTTTTCCCTGTGTGACATATATCAAAATTCAAGAGCCACTCTCCTAAAGATCGTTCACATCACACGCACACACATGATTAATCCTGATGACACGCAGGTGATATCCAGCACACACGTCAACACAGTGTGGAATATGCCCTCCTGTCTTAGAAAGTGTGGCTCCACATTTACAGTACTCGTCTCAAAATGGAGGTGTAATATTGCTTGCCGACACATTAAAGGCTTGAAAAATATCATACCTCAAAATTATGAGCCAACATCATTACAGTATTGTGCAAACTATAAACTGTGTGTGTATATGATTGTTATTTATTGATTTCTTTTTCAGGAGGAAGGCAGGTTCTTTTTTATTAGTCTGACACCGGTGGCAATTATCAATCTGTTTTTATTGCTTTGTGTTTTAATGCATAACGTGTTTATGATGGTGTTTTACAGCCTCGCTCTGGTCTTGCCATCTTATAGCAACTATTACATCAGGTCATCACTTACCGACCAAATACTACAGGCACAATGTGAGTACATCATCAGCACAAGTGCAATCTCATGTAATTTTGCAGTGCGTGCGGATAAGGCATAAATATTCTTAATGCAATGACAAAGAGATTTTGTTCAGACGTTGCAGCATAGCCCTAATAGCTTTCTTTTATAAGTCCTGGGGTGGAGCAGTCGCACAGTGGTTAATACGGTGCAGTATGAACCCAGAAACCCTGAGCACGATTGCCAACCACGGCTTACATATCTGAACCAATCTTGTGTTGCCTCCTTCACCTACCCGCGTTGATTAGCGTGGTGAAGTATGGTCAAACAACCAGAGTGACCGACACGGTGTTGGGAGGCCAGCATCTAGTGGTTAATTGAGAGAGGGCTTAAACTATTTCTTATTACTGTATTTCAAAATGCGGAAATACTTTTTTTTCACTTACATTTCATGTTACGTTAACCCACGTATGCATCTACTTATATGGCATTCTATTGGTTTCATTGTGAGAAGTCTTTTGCATGGCAATGCTGACTGCTCGTGAAAACCACTCGCGTATTTTTTCTAACTTCTAGTAGGAGTGCTGAGCGGTCGCAAAAGCAGCTTTTGAATTCCAGTATTGTATCTCCTCGGTGTTTGTTCTTGCATACCCGGCATAAACAAAAACTATAGCCAGCTTAAGCCAGACAATATTTTTATTCAATGCGCCTTTTGAATAAAATATTGTTCAAGTCCCCATGATCTCCCACCATCTCTGCTTCTCTCTCTCTGTCTTTCCCATTTGACGGACTTGCACAGTCAAAAAGGGCACACACAAGGAGGGCAAGTATTAAACCGCTAGTTGTGTGACCCCTGCCAATCCCTGACTCCTCCCTTCGCTGGACTGATCGTCTGCCTGCATAGTAGTTGACCCTTTCCTCCTTTACTCACTAGCCAATGCTCTCGCCTGTGGCCCTTCCTGTTCTCTAGTTCTAGTGTGACTCGGCAGCGATCCTTGTTTTTAGCTCGACAGCGAGTCATCTTTCCTTTCTCTCCCCGAGCATCAGGTGGCAAGATCCAGTGAGGGACTGTGATATTAAACAACCGTACAGAAATTAAACACTCTTTAATTATTGCTCACATCTGTATGCGATGAAGCGGGCCTAATGGAAATAAAATTACCCACGAGGTTCTATATTAAGAGTGTTATGTTTGTGTAGTGGTTATTTATTATTGTAAATCCCCTCCTAGATCGATTGCGGAAACTTTGTTTAAGCATCCACCTTCCCAGCTTTGATTACATACGTATATCCCTAAGCAGGTTAGTGAATATGGTAATTATAATAATTTGGATTCTTACTCATTTCCATGCAGTGTGTGCAGGCAAGCATGAACGGTTTAATTGACTTTTGATGCTTTATTGGCTTTGGTTACACTACATGTATGCTCATAATCATCTTTGGTTTTTTTTTTCTGGCTTTATATTTTCAGCAGATATGTCTTCACGTGTGTTCCTAGCTTTGTTGTTAACGAAAATTAAGGTAGTGTCACAAACTCTTTGAAAGTATAATTTGAATAAACATTTTAAGATCATTCTTCCGGGGAAACTATCGACAGAAAATGTGTTTGACCTGCCACGCTCATTTTCAAAATGTCTCCTGACTAAACCCCCATTCGTGCCCTGCCCTGCTGTCTTTCGTGCCCTGCTGCCTTCCTGCACATTTCATTAATCCCTTGTTCCTCAATCTGTGCTTGCAGATTTAGAGTTCCTCTTGCCGAGCTCCTTCGAGACCATTGGACATGTGTTCATAGCCCCCAGGTAGTTTTCCTCCTTCATTGGGTTCTCTTCCCCTCTGCCTATTCTTGACTTTACCAGAACTTGCGAATCAAAATGGGTAGACGCTTGTGTCTGAAGGAAGAGCACAAATGAGTAAATGCAGCCTGATCTTAGTCATTGTGTCAAGGGGAATGAGAGGTGCCGTGTACAACCACTGCAACTTTTCTCCCTTCTTTAGAGTATTTGGCTGCTTCAAATTTCGACATGATGAGCCATTTTGTTAAGCTATTATTTGTGGCCAGGTCGCTTCTGAAAAGCAGATGTATAGCTCAATGGGCCTTCCCTGGTATAATACAAAAAAATGTTGAAATAGTTTTTCTGCATGGCTGTTAAGCTTGAGCCCTTTTATCGTGACCTTTAGCTGTGATTATTTTCTATTTCTCCTGCATAAATATTTATGGCACTTTTTCCCACTTTTCGTAGGAAATTAATAACTAAAACCTAACCTGATTCCCTGAGGCATTATTCATATTCTGTAGCCAATGGTTTCAAAAGCTTTGAGGAAATTGTAGGACTGTTTTTTGTGTCAAATATTTATGGTTGTATTTTCAAAGAGTAAACCTTGCAAATCTGAAATATAAAAATGATGGGTCTAATTTTGTGTTTGACATTCAAAAAGATAAAGGTATACTTTACAAAACAAGGTGGTGTTTAAATGCACAGCAAAATAGTAAAAACAAAATTGTGTGTACACTTAGCATATTCAAACAATAGTTTTGTTACAGTTGCTTTGCAGGTGCATCTCTGCATGACAGCGATGTGCTTTATTATTTCTTAGAACCTCTTGTAAGATGAAAACAGCCACTCGCTGTGCATAATGTGGACAATCTGAGGCACCTGCATTTGTCACCAAATTACGTTTTATTTTGCCCATGACAAACGGATCGGAGTGTTGGTGTCCACCCCATAGCAAGCGCTGACTCTATACACCTTTGCTGGAAAAACAAATACATGTGCCTTGGCCAGACCTCTTGAGGCCAACACAATGAGAGACAGTACATGGCACTCGATAACTATACAGCTGCTCATTTCACAGTGCGTTCTGTCTCCGCATATTAAAAAAATGATGTAATCGCCTATCAGATTTCCACACCAATATTATCCAGTAGCATTTTTTGAAGCAGGCAAACTCTGGAAAGCCAATTAGTAAATGACTAAAATATACATTATTTACATGTGGGAGACGCACATCAGAGGTGTGATTAGTGTTTATGTTATTACCCATAATGCTCCTCGACAACGCTGAATGAGTTTATATGCTCATATCACGGTGCTAAATTACCTCTTCGATATAACAAGAGAGCCAACGGTGTTCCCGCACAGGGCTATACCGTACATGCATAATGAGTTACTTGATGTGCTCGCATGTTTTATCTTGCATTGGTGTATTGTCTATAATTCTAGTTACGTAGCAACGCGGGCAGAATTTCCTATAGAAAAACATTTTAACTAATAAAACAAATGTACTTCTACCATGGATTACGTCTGGAAACTGAGAAATGATCGTGAATGCAATTTATATTTAGGAGTAGCTACCTCATTGAACTAGGAAAATAGAGGTATGCCTCGATTTACGAATGTTTGAACACTTTTCTATTAACCACTTGGGAAGCTGCGTCATCCATCTACGACAGTGTCACGGTGTCCCTACAGTAGCACCTCCACATCACCTTTGCAGTTATTCCAACATGCAGATCTTTTGGTGAGTTCCCTGAAAATGTTTAATATTTAAATTTTAAATAGATTATTATTATTGCATTGTGAAAAGTTACATATGTGTATATGTTTAGGTTAAGAGTATAGTTGGAATTACTTTCCGGAACACATCCGTAATAGTTTTTTTTTATTAATGGGAAAATACATTTGGATTTACGAAATTTCGTTTTACACGTGTTTTTTGAAGAACACATCTCATTCGTAAATCGAGGGATACCTGTATGTAAAATCCTGTACTTGTTTTATTATGGTGAAGAATGTCATGGGTGTAATGATGCAACCAACCAAATTCCATGAATCGTCATCATTCAGAGAGGCGATGCTTTGTAGGAATGTGTGCTCTTTTTTAACATTGTGGTGAATGCAGCATTCTCTAGAGTCGCTGCAAGAATCAAGCAACCACCTTACAATCAACATAAAGGAAACAAAACAAAATCGATGCTTAATACATTATATTCTGCATAAAAATGTTTTATTAATTGCTACACCCTTGATTTGCATGGATATTGTGTATTGCTGCTTTGTCTGTTAAACCGTATCCTAGAGAGTACTGCAAAAATCTCAAACCAATGAGTGACAACGCTGAATTCCTGCGGACATTTATTGGCGAGATGGAGAAAAAAACGCCGGATTCGGAGCATTGTGAGTGATTTGCGTAGTAGGTGGGCATCGGTGAGACGGGATGGTCGTGTGTGGAGTGGGCACACGCATATTCACTGCATTAAAAAAAAACAATGGTTTATTTCAGTTTTTAGATTATTATTATAATAACTAATTGGGCTTTGGCCGCATCTATAACACAAAAGCTATGCTTCCTGCTGCAAATATTTGATTAAATGCTATGATTACCTTCAATTAACAGGGAATTGTAAACTCCATAGGCCCCACCCGTTCCTCTGTAGGCCCCGCCCTTTATTGCTTTGGCCCCACCCTTCCCTTATTATGCTCCTCCTCTTTTGGCTCAGCACCTTCGCTCTTTAGGATTAGAATCGTGGGTGGGGGTTGTGTGAAGGGTGGGAGTGTGTGCAGCAGCAGGGGGTCGTTCATAAATGACGTCACGCACCTAGGGGAGGGGGTCAGATATTTGTGACGATGTGTGACGAGGGGGGGGTTTGAGAAATGTGACGTCACATCAAAATGCGCAACTTAAAATAAATATAGACAACACGTTCTACCTAATTAAATAGACTTTTCTAATAAATGTTTTCTCCTACAACATCAGAGTGCAGCGCCACATTAAATACGCACTACAATGACAATAGTTTAAAGCGATTTGAAGCATGTTTTATTTTCAAAATGGAAATATGGTTTTGGGGGGAGGGGGGCAGAGCTTTGTGACATCATATTTGAGGGGGGGGGGTCTGACTTTTTGTGACGCCGTGTGACGACGGGGGGGGGGGGGGGGGGTAAAAAATCGTCCAAAATCGCGTGATGTCATTTATGGACGGTCCCAAAGTACCAAAAATAAATATTAGCTCTAACGAAGCAAAAGCCTTAGGAGAGCTCCGATTAAATAAAGATATTCAAATTCTGGCAGCTGATACTGTAGTGATGTCACGAGCTAATTGTGATAATAAAATGAAAGATTTACCAGAGGAAAGTAACTACGTTAGAATTAAACGAGATCCAACTAATACTTTAGAACGTAAGACTACTGCAATAATTGCAAATTCATTAATCCCCAAGACTGAGCAATACAAAATTAGGCCAAGGGGCTCAAAACCACCTAGACCAGAGGTCGGCAACCAAAATAACAAGAAGAGCCATTCTTTCCAATTCGGTACAAAATTCAGTATTTCAAGAGCCGCAATGCATCTGAGTACATACTGTACATACGTACATATCGTCAAGAAGCAGCCCGTAAAGAGCCGCATGCGGCTCCGGAGCCGTAGGTTGCCGACCCCTGACCTAGACTGTATGGGCTACCAAAGATTCATAGAATCGGCATCCCATTACGACCCATAGTAAATACAATTGGCTCTGCCACATATAAATTAGCAAAATATATAACTAAACAAATACAGCCCTATATCGGTAGGACATCTTCATTCATAAGAAATTCAGAATATCTTGTGAATGTGATTAAAGATATTGAACTTAACCCTCGTGATATTCTGGTGAGTTTTGATGTGATTTCGCTATTCACTAAGGTTCCAGTTAATGAGTCGTTAAATTACTTGATACACTAGTAAAGAATACAGGTTTAGCAAAAGAAATTCCAAAAACTAGCTGACCATTATATTCTTGGTTCTTTCGGTAAAGTCACGTAGAAGGGAAACAATAAAATAAGAAAAATATAAAACAACATTTTTTTTTACAATACAATTATACAAATATAAAACAATATTGTTTTATATATTATTTTATTGTTTCCCTTCTACGTGACTTTACCGAAAGAACCAAGAATATGAATCCCTGCAGTCACGAAAGCTTTAAATCAAAATTTAGCTGACCATTGTTTAAATAACACTTTTTATGGAGAGGTGATTTCTTTAAACAAAAGGAAGTAGCAACAATAGGCTCTCCTTTATTTCCTGCTATAGCAAATCTGTACATGGAAAACTTTGAAACAAGAGCACTTGCCTCAAGTTCATTAAACACATCTTTTTGGTTTAGATATGTTGATGACACTTTGGTTGTCTGGTCACATGGTAAAGATACACTTAAAGCATTTCTAAATCATCTAAATGCACAAAACCCGGCCATCCAGTTCACCATGGGAACGGAGGTGAATAACACACTCCCTTTCCTACATATTTTACTTGGACATGGCCTAAATGGCAAAATAACACACAGCGTTTACCGAAAGGGAATGCACACTGATGCCTATCTGAATGCAGATTCACATCATCACCCAGTTCAGAAATCTTATCAAGACGCGCATACATCGGGCTAAACAGTGTCAGATGGTGAAAGTCTATGGAGAGAGGTTAAACATGTTAAAGAAGCACTACGACAGAATGGCTACAATAATGCTCAAATTAACAGAGCACTGAATACCAAATCACGATCGCAAAGCAACACTGCTAAAAGTGATCAGATTATTAAAACAATTATAATACCATATATCTCAGGAGTAACTGACACATTAGCCCGTGTTTTGCAAAACATTAAAGTAAGATTTGGTACAGTACACAAAATTCTAAAACTATATTGTACTAAAGACGAATTACCTAAATTATCAACAGAAGGTGTATATCGGATTAATTGCTTATGTGGCAGATGCTATATTGGACAGACGCGATGTAACATCAGCATAAGACTAAAAGAACACCAAAGAAATATTAAATTATCTCAAACACAACTGTGGGCAGTGGCAGAACATGCTTGCCAACAAGGCCACTCAATTGATTTTGATAACGTTGAAGTGTTGTGTAAAATGATTATTTCTGGCCAAGACTAATTAGAGAACCCATTGAAATTGAGATAAATACAAATAACTTTAATCGCTCCTACTGCTACAGGCCTAGTGTGGCCTGGAAGCGTATTATTAAATAATACATATTACAATTCCTTATAGGGGAAAAACATACTAATTGACTGATTACTAACGTAGTATATAATTACAATAACCCCCCCTCCGCCACCATCTGATTTAGGCACCTGCTTGGGTATAGTGATTGGCTTCAGTTATTAAATAATACGCATTACAACTAATTACTAATCATGACAATTAATTGATTACTAATATATTATATAATTACCCCCCTCTCCGCCTCTGATCTCTGCACCTGATTTGGTTGAATGATGACGTCACCCTGCTGCTGCTCTTTTTAAGACTGGGAGCAGGTGGAGGGCTTCACTATTCTGGCAATTTGCCCGATGATGCTGATGTAATTACCAGCGAAACGTCGTACTCAAATATTGTAAATGTTGTGGATGCACTCTTCAACACACCAGTGAGCTAAAATAATGAACTATTTGTCTTTTGTCAATGTGACACATTTTATACTGATTGGCCGTGCCGGGTGGTGGAGGGTTACGACACATTTATAAATAACGCGATCTAACCCATAAACCTGTATTATGATTATTATTGGTCGCGAAAGCCTACGTTTGTTTTATGTATGTTGAACTTCTTTTGCATCGTACGTAGCCAACTGTTGGTGGTTTAATAACTTAAATTGTGGTTGCTCTTTCACTTTCAGGCAACACAGATATGATATACAACCTCATTCTTGATGCTGGGATCACTGCAAAGTTGGCTCAAACGCATTGGCAAAAACAAAATATAGCAAGGTGAGAAGTGGCCCGCCGTTGTTCTTCTTTGGATATCTCAAATATCGCGCCTCCTGGCTTTGACATTACGAAAGACACAGGTGTAGCCATCAACCGCATCAGAGCCCATCAACAGGCCGATGCGCACACCTCCTTCACGAATAGAAACATGAAAGACAAGCCACAGGCTATGGAAATACAAACCAAACTATGGGCCAAATAAGAAACCAGTGTGGTCTGCGCTCCCTGAACGTTGGAGCAGCCAACCTACACGAACTCTCTCCTGAAACCCTCTCGTCGCTAGCAGTCTTCAAGATTGGCATTTATCTCCGGAACATATTGCCATACGCAAGAATAGAAAATATAATTTGGATGTTCGCTTTTTCAATACTTTAATGACTGTATATTTGAGTTACAAGATGTGTTTTTGTTGTTACGGAATTGTATAACTATTGTAACGTGACTTTATGCATTTATCTCTACAGCATGGGCATTCTAACACTCTTTGTGGCTACGGATGGTGGAATTACAAGGGTATACCCTTACAGGTACTGGGTCAATTTCAATATAAAAATATGAAGTCAGATAAAACACCATTGTATAGAAGCATTATTTAAATTAGGACTTGAAATGTGAGTTAAGTTGTGTAATGTTTGCACAAACACTACACTCTTTAATATTAAACACATCAGGGGACACGTGACACGTGAAAAATTGGGTTACTAGTACTGGAAAATGTGTAAAATATAATTATTTTTTATAGGTTTTTACATTAAATGAAGGACAATTATCCTCAATTACAGACTTCACAGTTGTGTTTGTAATGTTGTAAATGTTATCATGCGTAATGATCATATTTTAGACATGTTAGCGTGTGTTTATTTGGTGTAATCTTTAATTCACAGCAGTGACGATGAATGGGAGGAAAATCCAGAACCGCATGAATCCAGTTATTACAAGAGAAGCTTAGACAACAAGTCATTCATCTACAGGGCCACACATTTCGGAGGTAACTTTCAGCAAGTACATTAACACGTTTCAACAATGTGCCAGTCACACTTTCAATAAATGAATTACCTAAAGTTGCTACGTGTGTTAGCATTAAGATTTAATAATGATGCATAATTGTTTTGGACCGCTGGATTAAAAATGGACTGATGCATTTATAGACACTTCACTAAAATCATAGAGCAGGGGCGGTTTCTTCATTAGGGCGATTGGGCGACGCACCACCAATGTCATTCAACCACAGAGTCACGCTAGCCGTCACGGTGCCTCTGGATATAGTCCAATCAGCGTCATGTCACGTTCTGTGGAGTACCGCCTCTTTTTGGGCAATTTCACTCCGGCTGAGAATCGCCCCGAGTGGCCCCATAGACTTACATTCAAAGATGTTTTTTTTTCGAACGGCGGGCGCTCCAATGCATTCTCTATGGCTTCCGGGAGGGCTCGCACTAACGTGCTTACGTCATCATACGTAAGCACGTTTCATCCAACAATATAATTTGTCGCCACCTAGTGGAATCTTTAATAAAATAAACTTGAGTGGATTGTATTAATAGTGAGTATAGAAACAAACAAGATGTATTGTAAGAGTCACTTTATTTTTCATTAATATTAAAGAAGTGAAGTTGCCTTTACATGCTTAAGCTGTTAATTTATCCATTGCATGGGTGGACCTTATCCTTATCAATCATCCAGACATTTGCCCCCCCTGAGAGATTTTGCAGGAGCCGCCACTGTCATAGAGGGATAAATTATGCAGCATAGCAGACTGTATGTTCATTCAAAGGCACGACACGTCTCCCACCAATCTCAATGCACTTTTTCAATCTTCAGTGCTCCCCTCCGTGAGATACGGGGCCGTCGCTTTCACATTAGTCAATCACCTGCGGAGATTAAAGTAATGGGGGTCATTAGGAAGTATTAGGGTATCTTGAAATGGATCATACCTATTCGAGTAACTGTACTGTCTCGGGGTGCGTGTGCTCGAATGCAGCTTGGATTGAAGAAGGGCTTGTTAAATACTTTTGTAATATGAGGCTATATCCGGCTCACTGACGTATCACAACTCGTCACGGTGATTGGCTCTGCCGGTCCTGGTTTACAGCCAATGGGGGGAAGCCTGGGGGCATGGCCCTGACGTGATGGAAAGGTGACAGCTATAAGGATTGGTTCTGCTGGCTTTGGCCACAGCCAATGGGGAGATGAGTCAGGGGCGTGGTCCCGGGAGCTGACGAGGGAGCCTGGAAGATTCGATGCAGTTTAACGAGGATTGACGGAAGCGTACCACGTGACCCGGGTATCAAATAGGGGTGGAGACGAACGACACGGGATCAGAACGGGAACGAACAGAGGGGGGAGGCCACGCGGGAGCGGGGCTCCGGGTTGCCACGTGGCAGTGCGTCTCTCTATATCTGTCCCTCTCACGCTGCCTATCAGCAGCGTGGAGTAAACTGTACGATAAGTTGAATAAAAGACGAAATCCAGAAGTTGCCTCAACGAGATTTATTACACTTTGTAGCCAGCAGGGGGCAGTCTGACCACAGGATAACAAGCAGTTACTGGTACCATTGTCAGTCGGTCCAACCCAATGTGAACCTCTGCTGTCATGCAATCGATTGTCACCTTTGTTGGGGGTCACAATTCAATTCAAGAATCAGTTATATATTATAATTCTATTTCTGACACAACTCTCAATTCCCACGCCAGCTACACGGTTCAATTTGTGGCACCTCTTAACTGTCTGCAGGGGCCATGTGAAATAAAGTACAATTAATGAATGCATATGAAAAAAGAATGTGTGCTATTGTCCAACGGATCTATCGTGAGTGTGTGAATCAAAATGTAATCGATGCGTCGTTATATCCCCCTAATTACAAGCACCCATACATCCGTGTTCAAGACGAATTAGGGTTCACTTTAAGCTGCTTATTGAATCAGAAGTATATCAGTTCCTTTAGCTATTTGTATGACCAGTTGGCTGGAATGTCAGTGTACATTTTATCCCTAATTATGAAACATACACATTGTAATGTGTACACATCACATGTATTGAAACATCATTACACAGTTTTAACAAGTTTCATTTCATAGAATTGTTTCTCGTTGTATTAAAGTAATGTCAAGCTATATTTTAGAACGTTATATTTTTTTCAGCATGTAGACTACGTGTCTACATTGTTTGCTGTTATTGGGATTTTCCTTCCTACAACTTTGGATGGAGCTGCGACTCTAGTTCTCGCAGTGCAGTGTGAATCGGTGAACCTGCTTTTGATTCCTGACCATGGCTGTCTGAACCAGTCTTGAGCCCCCACCTGCCCCCACCCTCCCACCTCCCAGCCTATTCAGCTGCTCAGAGTCGACGCACCTCGGTGGTTGTGATGTCCATCCATAAGTTTCTCTGCGACCTTTCGTCTTTTAGAAAATCATTTAGTGTTCATCAGAGCGGAAAGCACTTAACAACATGTATCCAAGATACTATGATTTATGGGTTTTGTGTTTTTCAGCCACAAGGCAAGCATATGGTGCCAACGTGTCCATGGGAATCCTGGCTTCACGCGTTGTCGACGTCAACATCGATGGCAAGAGCCTGCGACCTGCAGGTGAAGCGCTTGGCAGGGCCGGAGTCTCTGGATTTTGAACAAAAAAAACGACACTCACTTTTTTTGGAATTAATGGATTTTTTTGCAATATTGCAATTGGGCTGGGAGTGTTACTTGCAATGGGGATAGAGCACTGCGCTTTGAACCCAGTGGCTTAGGTTCAATTCCCACAGTGGCAAGATGTTATCTACCTCACCTGGTATACAGGAGGTCATGGGTTCAATTCCGACTTTGACGCCTGCTGGATATTTGGAGTTTGGATGTCCTCCTCGTGGTCGTGTGGATTTTTCTCCGGGTCCTCCGATTTTTCCATCCACATTTATAAACATGTGCTGAGAGTATTTGGTTGCTATAAATTTTCACATGATAGGCCACTTTATTGAGCTATCAATTGTGGCCAGGTCACTTCTGAAAAAGCGCTATTTGGCTTCGTGTGCCTTACCTGGTCAAATAAAACAAATTTTAATCGTTGTTTATATGAACCAGTCTTGGGATGCCTGTTTATTTCACCAACTCTCACTCACCGGCTCGGTGAAGTACAGTCAAACCACCACCCTCACTTGCATGTGGTTTGGGAGTCCTTCATCCAGCAGTGGATAAAAGACGATAATTTATGCTGTTATATCACTTAACCGATCCGATTACACATTACATTTTATTTTACTAATCTATATATGCAGAGACTGCAATGTTTGTTAATATTGTCAATTAACGTCATGTGTCCCCCCGATTCAAGGTGATACTTTTAGGCTTTGCATGGATTTTTTTTCTCGGTGTTTGTGTTTAGTGGTCGGAGTGAAGCTGAATCCCGAATTCTGGGTGCCCAAATTCCGACTCCTCACCAATAATCAGACAGACAGAGGCAAGAATCAAAAAAAGGTCGTACATTTATTTCGGCAGTATTTGCATTCGACAGCAAAAAAAATTGTATTGTGTTGCGTTGCTATTTATACGTGCGATGCTTGTCTAATCGTGTGCCATTTTTAGATGTTGCAGTGTATGGACAACTCTTGTGAAATGGACTGCGATTCCAAAAGTAATGTAAGTTAATAGCGTGTCAGAAGACATACACTTTCCCCTTTTTCTTTTGCAAGCAAATAAAACGCATACAAGTCACTTGTGATAAGTAGAGGCAAAAATGCGTTTCTGTTGTTGCCTTGGAGACCGGGAGATCGTTGATCGATGTTCTGTTCACCGGTTGACGGCACTAATCGTTATGTATCACTTAACAGAGTGGGCCACGTGAAAGCTTCCACCTTCCACTCTTGCATTTCTTTGACAACTGTTAAATGGAATGGTGCTGTTAAGTACCCAACCTAGTGTCATTTCCTCGCCTCTGTTGTCAAATATCCCTTGCGTTCATTGATTGGTTGCAGTATTTGGTTTGCTGGAATAGTTGGTTGATCGTGAAGTGCCTCCCCCTGGTTATTAAAAGGTGCACAATATTCGTATGATCTCTCAAGTGGGGTTTTCTAGCCGCAAATTTGTGTCATTCCTTTGAGTACTTCCACGTTAGTTGTGTATGAGAATTTATTTGACAAAACCCCCACAAGGGAAAAAAAGTGTTCGTGTCATTTTGGAACCTTTGAAGCTGACCATGTCCCGCACCTCCACATTAGTACGTTTGGCTACGTACGGTGCAAAAGAAGTTCAACATACATACTGTACATGCATGGCCACGGTGTTTTCTCAGAGGATGCCTCTCCTCCAGAAACCCTCGCCCACTGTCTTCAAACACTGCTTTAGCTGAGCTAAACCGCAACTAAGGGTTGCCACCTATATTGGTGTTCCAGTGGAGTTATCTTTTGTTGAGATTTGCTATTCTGGGAAATCCCCTAAGTCTTCCCGGGAACATTGAACGTCTCGGTTTCTGCCAGCTGCGTAACAATGCGCCACTCAAGACACAGAGCATTTACATGCAATTAAAGGTTTGTACACGAAGCCATCCAGATTTACAAATACAGACATAACTTCAACCGTGATGATGGGTGCAAACTGAGTAATCATTGGAAAGATGTTATTAACCATGCAAAAAAGATTTAACTACACATATTTGTACAATCTTATTTGACAGGTACTTTTCTACTTTACCGAGTGTTGACATCCCCAGCGTTTAACAGTACTGCTTTTTTGTATTTGGATTCTCAACCAACACCGGTTTAGGTCGAGGTACACCGATTGTTCTCTTGTACATTGACGACGTTGACCAATTTCTCTTGTAGCCCCGCCCACCGCCCCCACGTTCCATTCCCTGGTACCACATTCAGATAAGCCCCTCCCCCTTTAACTTGTATTTAAGGGCTGGTCTCTTGGAATTTTGCCTCACTTGATGCAGTAATTTTAGCTGTGACGGTCCCACCTGATGACGGAGACTTGTGTTGCCTCCGAAACGTCGTGATTTATTATTTAATTTTATTTATATTATTACTTTTAGTAATTTTATTTTTTACCTACGTGACTTTACCGAAAACACCTAAGAGTATGAATCCTTGCAGTCACGAAAGCTTCAAATCTAGAATGCAAATATCCTCTACTTGCGCTAGTGCGAAACATGCCCCTTCCCATAACAAGACGGGGTGTTTTTTTCAAGGCAACAAGCCTGACCACGTGACACACTCAGCTGTCATGAGCTTGGAGTTTATTTACCAGGGCCAGTGCTGTCTCCTCATCAAGCAAGCAGACGAATCCCATTAAAACACATACACACATTTTATAATGCCATTGAACGTGGGTAGTGCTCTACCATACAGCAAAACTCATTTGTTTCCAATATATAGGATAAACAAAATAATGGAGTGGCATTACAATCGCCCAGTACAGAGTGCTGGTTGCATTGGCATAGCAGCTGGTGGCAGAGTACTGTCGCTACAGCCTTGGAGAGCTGAGAACATGCCCAAAGTCCCGATAACACTGGTCAACACACTTTTTCTGGCATAAGGTATTCCAACGGTTTTAAGGTAATTTTGGGGTGCTGATTCCAAATCTGGCATCAGTTTTTGTCTATCACATCAGGTTTTTGAGATATCAAATATTTCATTTTCAATAAAAAACTGCAGAAGAAAAATATTAAATGAATGTGGATATCTACATAAAATGATATTATAAACACACTATCCTAAAAATACAGCACCATATTTTAACACTAGAGCAGTCACTGACTCGCAATAACTTGCAATCATAAGTGACAGAGTTAATTTCGGGTAAAATCAATGAAAATGGGGTATGCCGATAGCATAAAAATGAGATGTGATGGAGCAAATCTGAGATCAGATTTGGAATCCGCACCCTGAAATTAGTCTAAAACAGCTGCAAAAGTCCAGGCCAGAAAAAAATGTTTTTTTGTTGTTGACCAGTGTAATAAATACAAGATGCAAAGCATCCTGTTAATTTCCATGTGGCATGGCTCACTACGCATCAAAAATGCAGTGTTTTGTCTGTCCATCGAACACAGACGGTCGCCGCATTGCACGCCTTCAGATGCGCTTCTGCGGCCGTTTGCAACACTGTTCCGATGTTGGGAAGCCACTTGGCCTATGCACTTTTAAATCTAGATTGAAAACTCATTTCTTTGGAACTGCATTTTGTGTTTAGTTTGTTATCCTTCCCCCGCACCTCAGATTAGCATAGTTGCCTACGTACGCTGCGAAAGAATTTCAACATACATACATACACATTATGGCGTTGAGTTTACTGTTCAATTATGATGATGGTGGGGCGTTGAGTTGATGGATGTGTACATTTTCGCAGATCTTGGAATGTGTGGTGTTGGATGATGGAGGTTTCCTCGTTTTTTCCAACCAAGAATCTCACCAAGAGAAGGTAATAGTGGTGCACTGACAAATGACTAGCGCAGCACGGTCATGTTCTCAGTTTAATACTGGTAGGAACCTCTGCCTACACCAGCCCACGGGGGATTATTGTGTCCGTCCGTCGTGCAGGGAGGGGCTGGGTGGGGAGGGGCTGGGTGGGGAGGATGGGGAGGGGCTGGGTGTGGAAGGTGGGGAGGGGCTGGGTGGGGGGGTGGGAGGGGTGGGGCTGGGTGGGGAGGGGCTGGTCATCCCGTGGTGCCCTTATAAAACTCAACGTTTAACCTACTCACGCCGGCTTGTGCCCGCCCTCACAGTCGGGCATATTTGCGGAATACACCACGCCGCCGTTTACCCTGGCTATTGACTGAGCAACCCAACGTTCCTACCAGCTCCCTCCGCAGGACTGTGTTAAGTAATTATCTTTTGGGAATTCACAAATGTGCAAACCAATGCAACACTCGTAATATGTGTCCTGTCAAGGCAGCTGAATATGGTTAACATTCTTCATGTGCATTCTAATTGCAAAAGCCATGTTGCTCATGCATTCAGATCACGTAGAGAAACTGTGTAATCAAATAATTGTCGTAAAAACACACAGCTCAGGCATAAATAAAGTTCATAAATCAATTTAAAAGTATACAATTTACAACAAAGGTCCCAATATGGATTAGCTATAGAGAGAGCATCAATTTCCAACGGGAGGTCTGAATGGAAGATAGTAAGAAAAAATAAGTTAGTCTCTCTGTTGACGGTGGTGCACTTATGTATGTTGAACTTCTTTCGCGCCGTACATAGCCAACCGTGCTACTCGTCGGTGCGGGGGACGAACAATAAACTAAACACTAAAAGCAGTTCGAAAGAAATTAGTCTTCAATCGCGAGCACAAATCAAGACAGGAGAAAGATCATGTGTACATATGCATGAATTTTGTAGCAGCGCTTGCATTAGTCCTTGGAAGTATTTCATTAGCGATGTATCACATCGCCTGCTGAGCCACAGAACAACACGACATAACTCGATGATTTAAATGCCTTTGTCACAAACATTTATTCTTTAAGCGATGGTTATAATCACCCAAGTTTTGGGCAACCCTTTGATACATTTCACCAGATTTCTGCAGGGTAAGTCTTTTGTGTATTTTAGATCATCTTTGTGAAAGTTATCGTGACCCCCCCAGCTCTACAGACAAGACAGATGGGCAGACAGCTGATAAGTACTCATCGTTAGCACTGGCTTACAGCAGATAAGTGTGTAACAAGCTGATGTGTATGGTATCGGCCATTCTTCAGAGCAGAGATAAATGGGGTCAGAGGGATTGTGCTTAACGCTCTGGTGGATTGTGGCAATTGAGACGTTTTAACAAGGTTGTCAAATAATGATTTTTAATTGACTTATAATGAGTTTGTCATTGGTGGGCATTAACGTATCAATCTTTTTCTTAAGTTTGAAAACATTTAACTGGTTTAAGTCAAAAATGTGAATTAAACTTTTCATTTTCACAGTACACCATAGTGTAAAGTGCAGCCTCTCGCTTTCAGTCAGCTAAACTTCTCCACCCTCTCTCTGTACCACAGCAAGGGCCGTTGCCCAAAATGTCAACCTGTCACATATTCTGTTATATACGGCTCTTTAGTCCATCCGTTGCTGGGTGAGTGTTGGTGAAGGTCACGTGGGTTATTTCATCAAACGACATCACAGTGCCGGCTGGTGAAGGCACAGAGCAGACACGTGAGAGCAGCAATGGGTCTTGCGGCACTGCTCTCTGCTGCCCACCACGAATGCCCGTAGGCCCTGTGACAATCCTGGGGCCTTTTTTTGCCGGTGTCAAAGTATGAAAAATAAGAATAGGTTTTACCCTCTCTGGCAATAAAACAGAAGGTGTTAAGATGTTCAAACATCACGTAGATACATTTTGCAAGGAATCAAGTCTGCGTTAACCACGCGCATTTGTGGTGAACATACATACAAACAAACATGCTCTGATAATTATATATGGCATTGTCTTTGAAACTGATTGGCCTGCACCAGAGATGGCCTTTTCTTTATAGCCTAGTCAGACCAGAGAACGCCAAAAGGCGAACAGTAGAAAGACAATGTATAGGGTAAAACCTATTTTATTTTTCATACTTGACAATCTGTGGATGGTGATTGCCCATCCAAGCACTATCCAGGGTCAGCATTGCTTAGCCTCCGAGATCTGACAAGATCAGATGCATTCTGGGTGATTTGGTCGTCTGTATATTTCTGTTATCGTAATCATCAGGCATGGTCAATTATATTTCTGAATGAAGGCCTCAATAAGCCACCACCACCTCTCACGATCCTAGAATGCAACGATCCACCTTAGCACCTCCTGCATACGAACTGATACTGGTAGGAACCTCCTGGTTCCACCAGCCCACAGGGGATTATTGTGTCCGTCCGTCGTGCATCCAAAAATGGGAGGGGTGGAGCTGGGTGGAGAGGGGAGGTGGGGAGGAGCTGGGTGGGGAGGGGAGGGTGGGGGCTGGGTGGGGAGGGGGAGGGTGGGGAGGGGCTGGGTGGGGAGGGTGGGGCTGGGTGGGGGTGGGAGGGGTGGGGCTGGGTGGGGAGGGGCTGGTCACCCCGTGGTGCCCTAATAAAACTCAACATTTAACCTACTCACGCCGGCTTGTGCCCGCCCTCACAGTCGGGCATATTTGCGGAATACACCACGCCGCCGTTGACCCTGGCCATTGGCAGAGCAACCCAACGTTCCTACCAGCTCTCTCCGCAGGAATGTGTTTTAACCGCTTCCCATCTCCTCGATGGGCCTACTCTCCTTGATTGCCACTCCATAGTTAATGGTCGAGTGAAGGTGATTGTTGTTGTTTGTGCAAGACACCAAATCCGCACGTCTGTTCCCACTCCGAATGTCGTTCACCGCGCAGCTGGGCGAGTTTTTCGGGGAGGTGGACCCCCACCTGTTCCACGAGATGCACAGACTGGCGGTGTACTCGCGCGTCGAGTCCTACGACTACCAGTCGGTGTGCGACCCTCCTCCCGAGTCGCACGCGGGCGCCGCGCACAGATCCATCCGCATCGTAAGTGGTCCCCGGCACTGCACATCCCTTCGGGGGGAGGACGGGGGGGGGCTCTCTCGCTCGCTGCTCAGGGCATATACATATGTAATATGAGACTATATCCGGCTCACTAACGTATCACAACTCGTCATGGTGATTGGCTCTGCCGGTCCTGGTTTACAGCCAATGGGGGGAAGCCTAGGGGCATGGCCCTGACGTGATGGAAGGGTGACAGCTATGGAGATTGGTTCTGCTGGCTTTGGCCTCAGCCAATAGGGAGATGAGTCAGGGGCGTGGTCCCGGGAGCTGACGAGGGAGCCTGGAAGATTCGATGCAGGCTAACGAGGATTGGCGGAAACGTACCACGTGACCCGGGTATTAAATAGGGGTAGAGATGAACAACACGTGGTCAGAACGGAAACGAACAGAGGGGGGAGGCCACGTGGGAGCGGGGCTCCGAGTTGCCACGTGGCAGTGCGTCTCTCTCTCTATATCTGTCCCTCTCACGCTGCCTATCAGCAGCATGGAGTAAACTGTAAGATAAGTTGAATAAAAGACGAAATCCAGAAGTTGCCTCAACGAGCTTTATTACACATAGCTTGGAGTGCAATGTCGTTCACAACGGTCTCTAGGTACAATGTCATGGCTAGTCGAGCGATATCGGGTTTTCTGCTTGTCGCAGAGGTTTGTGGTTCCAGCTATGTGGTCGCCCTGGTTAATGCTGCGGGTGTATTAACCAAATACACACGCTGTCTGCTTCACAGTGGCTATTTAAAGATCCCGAATACGTTACTTGAAAACGAGTAAGCCGTGTGTGCGTGCGTCACAGTCCAATGAGAGCAATATTCGTAAATAACTTAATTGCGGAAAACTGCATGGCACATTGCCGCCCACTGCTAAACTCTACCCATCTCTGAAACGTAGACAGAGCAACTTCATGATAACCTGTGTGCTCTAAGAAAGGGGTACATGCCAAATATACAAACAAATGAGCCGTATTCCATTTTGCAGCCATAGTTCATGATATAACAGCATCACGTAGCTCCGCAAACTGTCTCAGTTCAGCGCATAGTCATAGCTGACCATTGCGACTCCGAGAGATGCCTTGTATCAGTTCAGAACAGGATGAGCATAGTCATGCTGGGAAAATCACGGGAGAATAGTAACGGAGTCGGGGAGCAATCCATTGTGGGCTCCAGTAGCTCTCTGAAGTGGTTTCAGGTTCTACCACGTGATGCCCAGCATAGCGAAGCTCCTGAGAAAGTCAGACGTCACACCGGACAAAATGCGGCACAACCCGAAAACAAATCAAGAGAGCTAAACAGCACAGGCGTAAAGCTGACACACTGACATTTCACTCTGGGGAACACAAATACGTGTATCTACATGGCGAAAACAGGTATAAATAGCATTAAAACAATACTATTACTATTCTTGGTTCTTTCAGTAAAGTCACGTAGAAGGGAAATAATAAAAATATCAAACACAAAAAGAAATAGTATTATTATTTTATTATTTCCCTTCTACGTGACTTTACTGAAAGAACCAAGAATATGAATCCCTGCAGTCACGAAAGCTTTAAATCAAAATACTATTACTACTAAATGGAATTTGCATCGGACGCACAGTTGTTATTGGGTAATAGTGTGTCATACGAATTATGACGGTAAATATTCATCGCTGGGTATGATATAATTGTTTAATGCTGAAATTGGATTATAGTTATACTTCGATGCCGCTTTATCCAGCATCGGTGGAAGAAAATGCAGAAACGTCACCAATACGGAGCGATGCTCTGCTCTCCCCTTTGGTGAAAGTTGAAAGTAGAGGCTGCACCATGTTACGTAAAGGCCCACCGCGACCTACTCATTTGCTGTGATAGTGGAAGAAGCGATGTCGCTTTTTAAATCCTTTATATTAAGTTCGCTTGCTTGCTTAGGACCGTGCAAATCTTTCGGTCGTTTTTTAACCCACTTCCCGTGATCCAATCGAGCTGACATTTTGCACACAGACTCGTTGTGCGTAACAATGCACTGTTTAGGGGAAATTTTTTAAATATTTAATTACCAATTGTTTAATGCTGCCAGACAATCATCTGACTCATAGGTGGCAGCCATCTCAAGCCAGAGGACGAGAGGATGCCACGCATATAAAGGATTTATAGTGAAAAACTTTGTTTTTACGGATTAATTTTTTTCAAAATTTACTTTGCTTGAAGGCGAGGGGTCTCGAGCAGTTGCAATTCTGTGTCGAGGATCAAGGCTGCGTGCAGTTGAGTCATCAAAGTAACGTACATAAATAACGTACGTGTGTCTGTGTACTTGAGCTGAAAGAAATTTCGCACAAATGTCTTGCTATATTTGCTTTGGTATTCATGTAATGTTGATGTTGGGGTTTGTTTGTTTTTTTCCAGCCAAAAATATATGACATCCTAAACCTTGCCTGGTGGCTCTCTGCAGCGGCATGGTGAGTAAAAACCGGGGACATTCTTTATGCTGAATAAATTGCAAACCATACGAGTTCACACATCTTATTTCCTAATGCAAGGTTATTTTTCATCATAAGGTTATTTTTCAACATAAAGAAATATTGCTTTGTCGCACATTTCACACCAAAAATAAACGCTCACCACCTGGAAAATCTTTGCACGTACTCAAATAATTTAATTTGATTATCTTTAATCGGAACATTTCTGCAATATGCTTTTCAATTACTCGACAAGTTTTTACAAGTGAGGAAATTTACAACAGCGACACTGTCTTCTTTGGTTTTTTCGGTAAAGTCACGTAGGTAAAAAATAAAATAAAAATATAATAAATAAATCACGACGTTTCGGAGGCAACACAAGCTTCCGTCTTCAGGTGGCACCGTCACAGCAAAATGACTGTATCACTTGATACAGTAATTTAATTTATTTTTATTTTCTTCTTTACCTACGTGACTTTACCGAAAAAAACAAAGAGTATGGACCCTTGCAGTCACGAAAACTTCAAATCTAGAAGCGACATCGTCGTTATGGTATGCTAGTAAATAAATAAAGATGCCTAGTATTGGACATGATTTTTTTGTATTACTTTAGACGTTGCCATAGCATGACTCCAATAAGCCAGAAACGCATTTATCAGACTGTGGGTCATGACCCCCCCCCCAGGAAGGTTTCATTGTCATTAGAAGGGGCCAAGACTTGAGCTCATCATGAAAAAACACATGGAGGGCATCTGTTTAATCACCAGAATAACATAACATTTAAGTCAATCGATTGACACAATCACTCATGCTCAGAGCTCTCAGGTCTCATACCCCTCCACTCCCCCCTCCATGACATTTCACATACATGAAATGGAGATTAAGGTTTACAACATATGGGGACCGCCTAGGCTACAATTATTTGTTAATACTGTTACTGATACAGCACACATTTTTCAGATTGTGCTTTGAAGCGTGTATATTTTTTACCGTTGTTTTTAACATTCCAATGTTTTTGTTGATTATTAATGTGATGACGCTTTGAGTGGAAGATTTGTTTCTAGAAAGATGCAACTATGTCAACAAAAATTAAATGTACTTGACTTTATTATTACTTGCATTCTCAGCAAGTACCAGTCAAACCTATAGACAGGGTGATCCTTCTCTGTTCATTACAGTCCCAACTGAAACTACTTATTACGAATGACCAGAATCCTAATGTTAGTCACATGACAAACATTTGAATCATGAAGAGTTGTAATTTCTCCAAATGTAATGCACAACCAATGTGTTATTTGACGTGTATTTGTGCAGTCATATGTGAGTTGGCCTGAGACTATAACAGGCAGCTTACCTGGATCAAACCCAGGTTCTCACTCAGCAGTGCCAGCTCATCGCTCTGACCTCCTAGCCACCCAGCCACCCTCAGGAAAAAAATGTTTTCTTTGGAAAATATTCCTGCAGAGGGAGCTGGTAGGAACGTTGGGTTGCTCGGTCAATGGCCAGGGTCAATGGCGGCGTGGTGTATTCCGCAAATATGGCAGACTGTGAGGGCGGGCACAAGCCGGCGTGAGCAGGTTAAACGTTGAGTTTTATAAGGGTACTACAAGGTGACCAACCCCTCCCTACCCAGCCCCACCCTCCCCACCCAGCCCCTCCCCACCCTCCCCACCCAGCCCCTCCCCACCTAGCCCCTCCCCACCCAGCCCCTCCCGACCCTCCACTCTCCACCCAGCCCCACCCCTCCCATTTTTGGATGCAAGACGGACGGACGGACACAATAATCCCCTGTGAGCTGGTGGAATCAGGTGGTTACTACCAGTAAAATATTTAATCCATCCACAGGATACGCTGATACTGAACCTCTGCCGCCCTCTAGTGGTTCCATTCTCTTCTTGCGAATGGCCAAATGTTTGGGAGCGAAATGACAATGTCGAACAAGGTCTTCTCACCACGAGAGGGCTGCAGGAGAGAGTGGTGATATAATAGAATACTTTCATTTTGGTCACGATTTTTTTCCCATCTCGGTTAAAGGTAAATGGTCACACATAGGGTGATCATCAATACTGTATATCCTGGGTGCCTTCTCGTTAGAATGAACCTTCTTTGTTTGCTCCGTATGATAACTTTGCTCGACTGGTTTGCAGACAGACCGACACACACGGAGGAGAGTTAAACATGAGGATGGTCTGTGTGTTCTCTGGCAGGTCACTGCTACAGCAGCTGCTGTGTGGAATTACGGTACCAAACTTGTTCAGTCCGTGTAAGTGTCCCGGTCACTCAGCAAAGCCTTTGTGCAGCCCTGCAATTACAATTACGTGCCTCACATACGGTGTCTTGTTGGCATTTCACATTCTGCTTTATGTGGACCGAAGCACAAGGTTAATTTACAGAGTGGATCACAGCAAATAAATTAATTACATTACCGTTGGGCATACAAGGGAATGCTCGTGCCACTGCTGGCAGACGGGGTCTCCACTAGAGGGCAACTCTAGAGGGTGCATAACCTACTCTTCCCAGCAAATCTTTTGAAGGGGGTAGGGGTACCCACGCTTTACCCCACCACACGTGACCTGCCGATAGAATAACTGTGGTGTACGTATGTACGTACATTTAACTTTTTTTCGCACCGTATTTCGCCAACAGTGCAAACCAGAGGTGTGCCCATTTATACTGCTGGCTGGATAATCCGAACGTTGATTTGGCCCCAATTTAATTTGCAAAAAGTATCATAGTGAAGGAGTATGTGACAATGACATATCCTATGATGCGTATACAGGAACATCCTCATAGAATGAATTCATGGCGGGGGCATGCACCGAATTATATGTTGATATGTTCTACAAAATTTGGATTTGTTATCATTCACATTTTGTGGAGTGCACAAGCGATGGCCCTTCGTCCAGGATGCCCTTGTTTAATCGTGTGATCGATGCTTTCACCGCCGCTTTGTATTCCCAGCCGTGGAGGCGAGGGACCCCCTGGAGCTGAAGGGCAAGGTCAGCTGTGTGATGCTGCAGACACAGTACTACTTCCCAAACAACAACAAGTCCTTCCATAAACTCATCGACTGTGGCAATTGCACCAGGTGGGGTCGTTGCTCACGAATACAAACGGCACACCTCCTTCGCACGACACAACACACACGCAGGCGCTCCGTAGCCTGTTGGCCGGGCAAGCCTCGTTCGTTGGCCCCTTTAGCGTTGGAGGGGGTGGGGGGGGGGGCATTTGGGAGGGCACCTAGAAAGGAATTAAACTGCCCTCCCCTGCTGAAGACTCAGCCACCCCCACCGCCTGCCCCCACCCCATATATTCTTATACTCAAATAAATATTATTGCAAATATGTTTTACAATTAAGTTATGGGCATTGCAGCCTTTCTTCATACACACGGGGGGTGAAATCTCGAGCAGGGTGCACGATGGACAAAAGCAGAGCACATCTTCCTGCTTTCTGTTTATCATTGAACATTTGTTCAGCTTAGCATTGACTGTGTCGTGCATTCTTCCCCCTCCCCGCCGCCTCCTTTAATGATGGTCATGCTACAGGGTTGGGTGGCTACGTTGTCTTTGACTCGATGGTGAGCTCGTGTGTTTGTGCAACATTGGAACAGGTACTTCCACGCGGAGAAGCTGGGCACCAGTAATCTGGTGCTGGTCGTGGCAGAGTTGTTCTCCAAAGAATGTACAGCGTGCGAAGATCGGAAAATCAAGCAGGCCAAGCAAAAGTGTATCCTTTTGCACCGCCATATCGCTCTCGGTGTGTGCCCCCGATATCTTGAGATCTCGAGAGAGGAAAGGGGTTTGAACTCGGTTGTTTCCTGGAAGGTTGACCTCCGAGCATTGGTAGAGGGATTTTAATTGTATACTCATGATAGGCCGCGCAAGCAGGTTTGAAATTAAGAATAGATTATTTGATAATAAAAAAATCTAATGTAACCACACAAGACGTACAATAATGAATTTGCATGGTCACCAGTTTGCATATCTATTCAATAATATGCTCATGTTACATGCAGGCTAATCGAGTGAACACATCCATACAAATGAGATATAATTAAGAGAAGCAATATAAATTCGATTGTGAAAACAATGCAAAGAATCAGTTCTTGATTCTATTCCCGCATTGTGGCAATTCACTGAAGCACTGCAATGAATGCATCGCTGGGATGACCGCTTGCAAGCATGCACTGTCTATATATGAATCCTTGTCAACAGGATGTGAACGTGGGGAGCATAGACAGTGGAGCATATAAAGTAAGTACAGTACAACAGTGGATATTGCTGCAGCCCTCACTGATGATCATGGTCAAATTCGGTCACATATCCCCTGCAGTAAGCACAGCATGCGGAAGCCCTCATCCAGCAGCGGATCGACAACTGCAGCAGAAACTGCAATGTGATGTCTGTAATGTGCGAATGTGCAGAGCGCTTGAGCGCGTGTCAGAGGGCACGTTGAGTGTGTGTTTGTGTGGTAAGGTGCTGCGATCGTGAACGACGGCCACTGCAAAACGCATTTCCGCCGGTATTGGCAAGCGCGTATCCCTGTGTTGACGTCGTCCTTGACTCTGCATCTGCTCAGCGCAAGGACCCGACCCCTGTTTGCTGGCAGAAACGCCACGGTATAGGAAAGGACCCGATGCCTGCTTTGATTACAATGTCGATGTGAGTTAGAGCCCTGCTCTGTGTGTGTTTCTCCGTCATGTGTATAATTAGTTTGATTTTAAAACTTTCGTGACTTCAGGAATTCCTATTCTTTGGTTCTTTCGGTAAAGTCACGTAGATAGAAAAATAATAAATAATTATTTTAATTCACTTGATTTTTTATTATAATTTTGCTATCTACGTGACTTTACCGAAAGAACCAAAGAATATATAATTATAATAAAAAGTTAATTTTGTGGCGCTTGCTTGCAGAGCCATTGCATTGCATAAACATGATCTAGAGGGAGGTTATGTTTGCATTATATGTAATAAAAATTAAGATAATATGGTGTGCAATTAATAATGGATTAATGTCGCTAAAGTAGTTTGTCTTGTTATGCTAATGTGCTGACAGAAAATAACATGCAGATGTTAGCATAATTTCTGCTTTCTGTCTCCGTGTTTTGCAATTATGGCAATTACTTATGAGCCACTTGCACTGGCATGGACGTTGTCAACACGTATCACAGTGGCTCTACACGAGCATATACTGAAATGTTTTATGGCTTACATTAGCAGGTGAATTGAACCCACTTAAGGACGTCCAATATCACTACGCTCTTTTCCAAACTTCATTGAACGATGCTTGAAGAATAACTTATGGATGCTCTCTCCTACTGTTGCATCTTGTATTGTTCCTTTGCTACCAGAAGATAAACTTTATTTACAAATTAACATTTTTCCCCCATTTCAATGTTCTTGATACAAGGCATCAGCAATAAAATGTGTTTATGCTTTCTACAATGTGACATTTTTACCTTTCTTTAAGCTTTGTCGTCACGTTTGCATCTCTTTCTTTTCCATTGTTTTTCCTTTTAAATCCTTTTTGAATTTTACTCATGAATCTTTATCTTGCAGGACGAGCCCATGTGCTCCGTGTCGAACCAAGCCTCCAATGTGATCCCTTCTACTCTTGCTCTATTTTTCATTCCAGCATTAGTTCAAATCCTTGTCCAGGGTCAGTCATGCTTACGTTAATCTCACCCATTCTGTGCTCTCCCTTTTTCGAAAGGAAACGGGAAAGTTTCATTTTTGCCTTGGGGGCACAACACGGACAAACGTTGGCAAAAAAACAGATAAATGTGATATTTTGTAAGCTCCATCTTGACTACGTGCTTGGATGGCAGGCTGACCCAGTTTAAACCTGAATAATGCATCGAGAAAGCTTTCCGATCTTTTACCATGGTACTTATCAATTACCCCCACTGGAATGCAAAGAAAGTCCTTTTACAATTGGGGGAGGTCTGTATGGCAGTCTTCATTAAAGTAAATGAATGGTGACATCAAATACTAATTGCTTCAAAGCACATTCGCAAAAATGCAAGTGTGTATTAAGGACCGCCTTATTATACCAGGTCGTACAGCAGCTGTTTGGCTGCAAAAATGCTCACGTGAAACTGATTGGCTGCATGCCTTGGTAAGCCCATCACAGCCAAGATTCAGAAAATGAAATAAACTACACCGCATCATGGTTTCTTATTATATGAAACCACAAACGTAGGATTTGTGATGCTCCAAAAGTAATGCCTCCAATTTTCTATTATCAAATACTTGGAAATGTTATCATCAGCAGCATTTGGCTGTTTTTCAAGCATAGCCACCATCCTCGTATATGTATTTGCACCAATATTGAATCAGAGACGGCATTCCATTAGGACAAATATTATTTATAAACCTCACATACACATTTTAAATAAGAAAAACACATTGTACATAAAACCATGCTGTATGGCCAGTGGTGGCTCTGCACGCCTGTAATCCAGCACTTTCGAGGCATGGGTTGATTGATTGTACAAATATTGCAAATCTCTCTGTGCGCCAGTTCAGTTGCTCTGTCCTGGCTTACCAGAATAAGGTGGTACAGAAAATATTGACTTCACCTGTTCCATCTGCATGGGATAAATCGTAGAGTGTTGCCCCCTCGAACGGGTGATAACATCTTTATATATAGAGGATCACAGAGCCTGGTGGGGAATTTGGAGGCAGCTCACCTCCCACGTGTCTGTGGATCCTCGTGCCTCCGAATCGTTCTCTCTCTCACTTCAAGAGTGAGCAACGACCGTGTGACGTATGACGAGGTTGAAATTTAAATTAACAAAAATAAAATCATCCTGGCAAAATTGCACGCGCAATAGGCCAACCTCAAACGGCTGAACAAGATGTTAATCAGAGGGTTCCAGATCTGGGCTCTGCAGCCGATGGAGCAGGACTGCCCACCCAAACTCTGCAATGACCTGTGTGATATACTCTGGCTCGGTTCTGTGCCAGAGGAGGTCTTCCACTAGTTAAAATACAATGTTCATGACTTTCCCATGAATGAATATGTAAATTGTTGCATCTCTCCAATACAATGTCTTGGCAAAAAACTAAATAAGAGGCATTACTTTTGGAGTAACGCTCATGTTTAAACCAAGTTATCCAATTGTATCAACAGTTTTTATTATGTTTCCCATAATATACAGTAGAACATAAACTCTCAACGCATTTGTCAGCAGCACTGCCTTAAGAGGAAAGTCTACAATAGGTGACGATTGGCTAATTGGCCCTTCTGCATAGCATGGTTCATAGAATAGCATGCTATGAAGGAGAGCAAAAAACGTACTTTTCTTTCAAGGTAATGTTATTGATGAATGTGGTCAGTATTTGTTGTTTAAGCTTGTACATTACTACTAACGCAATATCACCAATCGATTTTTTAAATCAAGTTTATAGGATATGTTGTTGGCTGCTTGTTCCTATTTTAAGGCACACCACTTGACCACGTGGGGTGGCCTTAGTTAAAAGTGGCACGCAGTTTTAATTGGGCTTGGTGCTCCAATTCACAGCATATGAGAGCATTCCAACGTGTGCGTGCCTTGAGAGCTGTACGCAACCCGTGGGTGGCTCGTGTGGGGCAAAGTGTGCAGCTGCCTCTTTGTGACACGAAGCCTGTAACATCGCTGCTGTGCAGCCTGCTGTAGAATAAGGCCCTATTGTAAGCATGCATTATTCACCTGTAGCTGATCTGTTATTATTCATCAACTGGGTTATTTTGTCTGCCTAGCATGAAGTCAAGTATGGCAATTGTGTAGTTGCAGCAGAAATCTATTATGAAAACGAAGTTGTACATCATTTCGAGTTACACAAAAACTGATAGTCGTGTGCGTACCAAAAAAAAAAACACTCGTGTTCAATTGCAAGAAGTGGCAGGGCAGTCATGCACAGTGTATCGAGTTATCTTACTAAGTTCGTGATTTCACTTTTTCAGCAACTGTGCACAACATCTCAAGTGTGTTTTTCAGGTAACATGTAAAGAAAGTTAAAGCTCCACTCGCTTTTCCTTACCCGTCTAAGAGACTTCGAGGCGTCAAATCCACTCTTTCATACTTTCATAAAGCTCGAGCAAAACAGGTTTTTTTTTTGTAAAATGGATCAGGCTCCCATTGCTAACAATGCAGAAAGTAGCTCAGTACATGAGATGTAGGGCATAGCGGTCTTCTCTTCCCTTACACGGCTGGCAAGCCTGGCACCGTTAATTTGGTGCTTTTAGCTGCAACAACGCAGAGCCAGGTTTTGCTTGTATTGTGGGAAAACTGCTGATGGAAGCTATTGTGCAAGAAATGCCATTGTCGGTAATGATCACAGGATGAAAATACAGAAGGAAATCCATTTTGAGCATCGCCGTGATTTTTTCCATCACAATATAGAAATTTAAGAGCATTTTGGGTTACATTGAATTGCTACCATCAAGTGTAATTTGGAGTAAGTAATAGACGCAAGGTTTGTCTTTTTAGAGTGTTGCATAGTCTTCTTATCTGACCGCAGACTTGTGAAGTGTTTCTCGAATACAATAAACGTTGAGACGCCACTTTTAATCACGTTCGATGCATTTTCGCTTTAGATTTCTGCTGCGATGTCACATCTATCACCATTTACCAAGTTTGTCTACATCATGTGTGGAGCGTTGTGAAGCTGTATAAGAGGGGTTGGCATGATCCCACTGCATGCATCGATTCTGAATGCCATGCTTGATGAAAGAGCCTTGCTACTCAAATAAATCTGAGGGTGCTGATTCCAGCCTTTTGCTAGCTCCATCAGCGGTCATGCCAATGCATACAGCTTCTTGCATGTTACTTTTTGTTTGTGCACACCACGTTTATTTATTAACACGCAGCTCAAATGGACGGTGGCGGTAATGCTTTACTAAGTACACAATGAGCAAGATATTAACTCTTGTTGATGCCAAAGGGGGTAGAACCAGCAATGATGGAGGGCTGTAGCTTTTGTCCACGGATGGATATGGAACATTCCAGGCTACATTGTACCAGACAATAATTCTGCCTCTGAGAAATAAAAATAAACCACTTAGTTGTTCCCAAATAATGTCCACCTGTGTTAACTTGCAAAGGCATAACGTGTAATGAGAGATGGATTTATACAAATAACTCGCCATGCACGTGACATGTGCCATGCCTTCAGCTTCCAATCAAGGTCTGGTTCCGCTACCTCTGGTTGGCAGTACTTGCTGTGACTTGCATTGTCTTGATTAACTTGCCTTGCTACCCCCATTGCTACGTGTCATTTAATTACAAGATGAGTTTTGCAAAAGTCCATGGAATCATGGTCTAAACAAATGGGTTTTCCACAATGAAAAATGCGCAAAACTGAAATAGCATAATGGTACCTCGTATTTCAGTGACATTTCAATCCGCAAATGTATATTCTGTAGAGAGCATTTCATTTATATACACTGCCTTTGATGTTTATGGAACTTCTATATTTGGCGGTGAGACTTAACTTTGCATATCGCAGCAAAGAACAACAGAAATACATACTTTAATGCATGGTGACAAACGGCTGTGCTACGAGTTAAAATACTTAAAATACACCTTTGAGTACCCTCTCACATGGATTTAGTCCAAATAATGGTGCTTTATATGGGCAAGTTGTACACAAAGCGTGCCTCTACGTTGATCTGTCATCACAGTAACGAGTGCACGCGTGTGTGTGCGTGTGTGTGCGTGTGTGCGTGTGTGTGCGCGCTTTCTGGTGGATGTTCCTGTTCTCTGGCACAGGAGGATGTCTCTGAGTGTGGTCATGGCACCATGCTGAGGCCACCCGTGCTGGCTCTCCTTACCTTTCAGGTCTGCCTCCTATGGCTCCTCATTCCCACAGACAGCTTCTTCTCGTGACCGTCACCCACCCATCCGTCCAAACTGCCCCCTTAAAACAATGACCTTGGTGGGACCTCATGCTGTGACACTTCAATGTCCTCTTGCCGCACCTCCCTCGGTTACCATAGGCTCTCTCATGCGCTTATATAAGTAATCAGTGGGGAAATGATGCTACTTTGAGCCCTCTCTGTTGCGGTGAAAGTGCTGCGAGACAACAGGTTTTATCTATTTTTTTTAAATATTATTTTCGTGTTAAAATATGGCACTTAGATCCCAGGCATCAGTCTGAACATGACGCCTTCTGTGAGACACAGGAGTGACAGAGACTGTGTATGAAATATGGGAATAGAGGAAAAGAAATATCGCAGTCTTGCATCCTTGTGCTCCATTCTATATTGGCTATGCCAATATGTTGTCAATGTATAATTTTCTCCTTCATTGCCCAGTTGCGCTGATAGGTAACCATTTCAGCTTACGTCCGTGCAAATTTGAATAAGAGAAGTACTTCGCAAAAGTATTTGACAAACTATATAATGGTGTATTTTAAAAACGTATCAATACTCATACTAAACTACCTGGTTTTGTCTCTTTGTGTTGAAATAAGAAAGATCGATGTTTCACCAATGTTAAAATACCTCCTTTTTGTTTTTATTATTATTTTAAATATGGAATAAGAAAAAACAAGCAGTGTTTATATGATAGTTGCAGCATAAGTACACAATTGGTGTATATAACTTAAATATGACATTCTTTTAATCAAAAATTACCAATAACACTTGTATATACCTACTCGTTCGAGGATGTGTCAAATCAAATATAATAAGAACTGCAATTAAGCACATATCAACTCTCATCTCCAACTTGCAGTTTTGTTCCTACGTTTAACAACAGAAGGCACGTTTGTCGAAGTGCATTTTTTGTTGGAAACATTTTAAATTATTTTTTTGTAGTTTCCCTTTTTGGTTCGGGATGGGCCAAGGAGCTAGCGCATGGTGGGATCTAAGCGATTGCTTTCATGATATAATTTGCCACATTTCAATTGTAATCTCACTTTATTGCCGTTTGATTGATAAATAATATGGGGGGGGGGGGGGGTTTTGGTCAGTGCCTATGTTTAAATTGGCTTCAATGTTTTGTTCTGTAAACACATTTGGAAGAACACGAAGGTATATATATGGAAAGAGATCATGCTTTTATTGATCCCCTATTGTATTGAGACCAGCCTATCCCTTAAAACATTCCAGCGTGCATGAAAAAACAAAAAACCCATATATCCTAGCATTTGCTAGACATTGATCCTTGAAAGCCATTTGTTGCATAGCTCAGAGCCATTATTCAGCCACATACACCTTTCTGCATTCATGAATGGAATGATCTGCAATTACTGTAGTGAGTCCGTGCCTGTTTGAAGATTGAATGCTAAGGCAAAATAATAAAATAACTATAAAAAATATTTATATATACAGTACTTGGTGCGTATGTGAAAGATGTTATTTTAGGATGTTGAGCATTTTTCCATGCACTAAATGATCACATTATTTCTACTTCAATACGCTGTCACTAAATAGATTGAATGTTGGTAACGTCCACATGTTATTTAAGAGTGCTTGGCAGCCTTTGCATTGTGAAACCCACCCCACACCACCCCATCCCACCACAAATGTTCTCTCAAAAAATGTTCAATTTTTGTAAATTAGCATTTTTGTAATTTCTGATTGTGAATAAGAATATAAGATGGATGTCTGCTTCAAAGTTGTTAACATGCGATTGCAGTCTGTTTACTCTGAATTGATCACAGATGTTATTACCAGGTTATTGCAACTTGAAATACTTGTGTTTTAATATATGGAGGTAAAGAAACCGATATGTGGAGTAACCATTTTCATAGCTGTGCTTTAGAAAAAAGTCTGCAATAAAAAAAATGTTAATAACGTATGCTACTCATGTGCTAACTACAGTATTCAGATCCCACGGCTATTCTGTTAATTTCAGATTTACTTTGTAACATTACTTAAAGCACTATTATGTACATTGTGTTATTTATAACTGTAATCTGATTTAAAATTAAAGTACAGTATCTATTAAAGAAATCCAGTGTCATGTGTGTTTCATATGAAATGCTGTTAAACATTTTTTTTTTACAGTTCGGATTTAAAGAAAATTATGCAACATTCAACTATTTATACGTAGAACATGAAAGAAGCCAGAGTAATGCGATTGTGGCAATGCAACCAGAACTATGGGCCATACAATACACCACGTGTCTATGGACCACACAATACACCACGTGACTATGGACCATACAATACACCACGTGACTATGGACCATACAATACACCACGTGTTGTCTATGGACCATACAATACACCACGTGACTATGGACCATACAATACACCACGTGTTGTCTATGGACCATACAATACACCACGTGACTATGGACCATACAATACACCACGTGTTGTCTATGGACCATACAATACACCACGTGTTTATAGACTATACAATAAACCACGTGTTGTCTATGGACCATACAATACACCACGTGTCTATAGACTATACAATAAACCACGTGTTGTCTATGGACCATACAATACACCACGTGTCTATAGACTATACAATAAACCACGTGTTGTCTATGGACCATACAATACACCACGTGTCTATAGACTATACAATAAACCACGTGTTGTCTATGGACCATACAATACACCACGTGTCTATAGACTATACAATAAACCACGTGTTGTCTATGGACCATACAATACACCACGTGTCTATAGACTATACAATAAACCACGTGTTGTCTATGGACCATACAATACACCACGTGGCTATAGACCATACAATACACCACGTGTCTGGACCATACAATACACCACGTGTCTATAGACTATACAATAAACCACGTGTTCTCTATGGACCCTACAATACACCACGTGTCTATGGACCCTACATACACCACTGTTGTGGTCAAAATATCTAGCAGCTTTTATGGGGGAATTGGACATTATCCTGATTTAAAATCGATTCCAGGTAAGCGTTAACTATTAAGGACCCCTGTATCAGTTCACGGTGCTTATTGAAGGCCACGGGGCAGGTAACGTGGGGGGGGGGGGGGGCTCTAGAAAGCGTTGCAATGTTGCATACTTTGTTAAGTTGCACAACGCTTTCGTGTCTGTGATCCTTGCCTTCCAACCCGCGCTAATCAGCGTGGTTAAAGAACGACTTAGTGATTAGCGAAGCATCTCGGCCCGCATCCACCGTCGGATTCGCAACGCTTGCTGTACGTGTACAAATTGTGTATGCGCCGTGTGTTGACACCAGCGTTCTTCACTCATTGTAAAGAAAAGGGGGGGGGGCACTTTCGCCGATAAGTCGTCAGTGTTGAGGGCCGCCACACATTTGGAACCAGTTTAACACCGTAGGCTTTCGCGACCAATATCATCCATAAGAGTTTTTTTTTGGGTTAGATCGCGTAAATATATAAATGTGTCGTTAAACCCGCCACCACCAGCACAGCCAACTAGTAAGGGTTGTCACGTAAACAGAACATGCCCATTCGTCACTAGTACAGCACACCGGGGCGTTGGAGAGCCAAGCCAAAACATTTACGATCCGTAATCAACGTTTTTGGGTTTAGATCGCGTTATTTATAAATGTGTCGTAACCCAAAAACGTTGATTATGAATAATATTGGTCGCGAAAGCCTACGTGTTAAATTTACGATCCGATTACGACGTTTTGCCAGTAATTACAACTAGCGTCATCAGGCGACAGCCAGATTTGTGGAGAAATACTCCTGTTTCGTTCCTTGAATGGCTATACGGGGGTGTTGAACGTGGCTATTGCTAACCAGAGCCGTGACATTGTGCAGGATGAACCCCTGGCACGTGTGGATAATTTCTACAACCTCCAAGTGGTTCTGCCTCCGAGGGTGAGGGGGTGGTTCACAACTCTGGTTTGGGTTTAATTACTTGACGAGTCCAATGGCTTGTCTGAGCCGAGGAAATCAATAATGGGATAAACAATCAAGATTGCTCACTGCAAAGGCAGAACAGGTTTGGACAGCCAATCAGTGTACGGACGAAAGAAAATCGGTTTACAGCAGCGCTATTCAACACAGTGTCAAGGCGTGGCTATGTTTTATACGTTAAAACACCAGAATCAAACGTAGTTTCTTCAAGTCACTTAATTTCTATATACTGTAGGAAGTTTCGTTTTGTTTTTCTCTGAGACTCGCCAGCCTGGACGTCTTTTGAACGTGAGCGTTTCTCTCGAGGTAAGACCTCACGGCTGTTACCAATATTCATGATTGTTTTCATTATTTTAATAACATCCACAGTTTAACGTTCTTACGTTGGGAAATTAAGCGGTATGATTAAGTTTGCCAGGGAATTATGTTAAAACCAGCCATCTTTATAATCTCGCAATCGCAACCTGTGGAGTCCAGAGACGCATGCGGTTCTTTAAGGAACTGCTTCGTGACAGATATTTATTCAGGACTCACTGTCTCGTGTTCGCATGCATTGCCACCCTTGAATTCTATATTTTTTTACATAATTCGAACAAAAAATAGGCTCTTAATGTTCGTTGCCGACCTCCTGTGTTAGGTTGATAATAATAATTCGTGTTGTTAAATTGTGACGCATGTTGGCCAACTGCAGGGGGCGATATTGGTCGCAGTAATGCAATTATTGTCGTGAGGCTCGTGACAGGTCCGTGTGTTTTATTGTGCCGCAATGAGTTTGAGTTCAAGTTTATTTGTTTACACCAATGGCCCCGTTTAGCCGACTGCAGGGCTCCTTCACGAGGGAGATTCGTGGTGTGTGACCACAGCAACGACAATAACAAAATACAAAAAGTACTGAGCAGAACGAGCACATGGCCCTTAAGCCGTACCGCTGCGATCACAATGAGACGATACCAGGGGACCTCTTTTTCCAGGATCTGGGGAAGGCCAATCAGTTTCAAAGACAATACGTATCATTCTAGATTTAAAGCTTTCGTGACTGCAAGGATTCACATTTTTAGGTTTTGTCGGTAAAGTCACGTAGGTAAAAAATAAAAATTAATAAAAGTAAAATAAAATAAAAAATAAAATCACGACGTTTCGGAGGCAACACAAGCTTCCGTCTTCAGGTGGGACCGTCACAGCACGATAGCTGTCGTGCTGTAATTTTGATTTTATTTTTTCTTTTACTTTTATTAATTTATATTTTTACCTACGTGACTTTACCGAAAAAACCTAAGAATACAATACGTATACTATCAGAGCATGTTTGTTTGCACGTTCACCACAAGTACCCTGTGTGTGATTAATGCAGTACTTGATTCTTTGAAAACGGTATCGATTTGGTGTTTGAACATCTTAACACCTCCCGTGTTTTTTTGCAGAAAGGGTAAGACCTTATTTTTCATACATTGAGACTGAAATTGTTTGCCAAGCGTTATAACCTATATAGCATTGGCCACCTCGGACCAAACCGAGTATTCTTCAGACAAATTAAATCAAGTGACGACTCGTGTGAACGTGAGATTGTACAGTCTGAAAAAACAAAGTTGCTTTTTAAAAAATGTGATTCACTAAATTACCTTGTAGTGAAGCGAGATGTGTTGAGGTCCTCTCTTCTTGCACTGGCTCATGTGTTATGCACGTAGTTAAGGATACCTCTGTTACAAATATAACGTCCGAGATATTCTGCATTATAACTTGAACTGTGGGATTCCCAAACGTTACATTTAACACCGTAGAGAAAATCGCGGTGCAGTTGGTTAACCCGCTGCGCTATAGCAAATAATCGACCCGAGTTACATTCCCATATATATATTGGTCGCAAGTGATATCAGAACCGATCCTGTACGATACATATACATGCGTTAAAATCACGGAGAGCGTAACTATAAGGGTTAGTAACCCTTCCTCATGTATCGGTCTTGCAAGCAGCATTGACAAGTGGGGAGCAGCATCGAAAGACATTTCATTCGGCGCAATTTAACAACCCAAATTCGGACGGAAAATTTCGCATTTTATTATAAAATGAAAAAAAGTTAAACGTGTGTTTTAACATTCTAAAAGCATCATTGGACAAATTTTGATTTAAAGCTTTCGTGACTGCAGGGATTCATATTCTTGGTTCTTTCGGTAAAGTCCCTTCTACGTGACTTTACCGAAAGAACAAACAATATAACATCATTGGATACTTTGACATCAATATTTGTCAGATGCGTTAACATCGTATCTTAAGTTCTAATGGTTGCATCAAGAGCCACATTCTGTTTAAATGTGTACCATGTGCCGCGTTGGACAGTGCATGCGTGTGCGATCAAAAGGAGGATACAACACACAGATATAGAGCGTGAGAGGTAGAACACACCGAGGTGAATCAATACAAATCAGCGTTTCAGCACTATCCCCTCGTTCCAGTAAACGTGTAGGACTGTTGCCATAGTAAAGTGGCGGCTGCACAGTAAGCAAACAGGGGGCGGCATCGGTTCAACACCTCCGTTAATCTATAACTCCAGAGTTGAATTTCACTCATTCATCCCATCCAGCATCCTCTCTCCGTCGTCCTCCACGCCACACACACACACAACGCGAACAGGCTGCTGCTGACTTACGAAATGTGAACAAGCACGGATCAATATGTGCTGAGGAAGAAAAATGGGATGGGCAACGTTTTAGCCAATTGGCCTTCGCCAGATTTTCTTTCGCAGTGGATATTGATTTGTGTCCAGCCCACTCACCCCAAAAAGCTTATTCGCCAATCTGCCCTTCACTCCAACCCTCTCCTCAATTATCAAGAAAAAACAATACGCATACATCACATCTACAATATCATATACATTGTGCACACAAATGTTATACTAATTATATTATTCATATTGATCATTTATAAATGCGGTACAGTACATTTTGGTCCATGCTACATATGCCAGCTGGTCACACTATGTTTAAACATATTTTGCACTTATGAAGACATATAAATTGGTTTGTATACCTATTGTGCTGTTAAAAATGTACATATTTCTAATGACATGTATAAATTGTGTAGTTGGTTCAGAGCATTGACATTAGGGATATCACATTAAACATTAAAGAACCCATCAATCGTGACTGCATACCTAATTTGTCTTTTTCATCGAATAATGCAACCGCTCATCGTGTACACATCGTATATTATTTTCTGCCAATAAGAATGTCGTTTCAATGCGCTTTCACGAGGCCAAAACCACTGAGTCAAATAAATAATTGCGTTAACGGGCTACATGGGTTCACGCATTATACACATTATTACAGTAAACGCGTCCTATTATGATTCCATATATATAAACTACATATCTGCGCTGCCCAGATGGACACACGTGCACTGCATTGCGCTTCCTCGGCATACTGTATGAAACGCTGAGAGTACATAGCCCCCCCCCGCCACCACCAATTCTACTTCTACTGTCGACCCTGCTATGTCTATGCGTGGCCTCCTCCCGCTTTCAGCACCATGGACAGCGCATTGTGTACATAGCCCCTCCAATGCTACCTCTTGCCCTGAGCGTGCGCTGTCCGTGGTGCTGAAAGCAAGGTGGCCGCGCACGCGCACTGACTTCCTCGGTGAAGGTGGGCGGGCGAAGTGAATTTAAACGGCTTTAGATTTGTCAGAGCGGACTGGCGCAACTCGCCGGGGAGACGAGCGTGGATTGGAAGGCGCCGTGCTGACAGCGCTCGGCTGGCCAGTGGCGTGCGCCGAAATCAGTGCTGGAGCGCATGCGGTCTAACGAATCTTAAGGTGTGGATATTTGCAGCAGCAGAAGCAGAAGCGTCAGCGTCATTCGTCCCGGCGGAGAGAAGAGCGAGCTCGGAGCGGGCCGCTCTTCACAATTAACGGCATAAGCAAATCAACAACAACAACAATAATTATAATGTCAATTTTATAAATACCAACGGTGGAGAAAATATATACAAGATGTGCATAAGAAAAAACTCTGAGAGAAGGTTGCAAAAGAAAAAATGATTTAAAGATAAACAACAACACCATCACCATCCTCATCCACTCTAACGAAGCGTGCAAATTCGAACATCGTTGATCGATAACCGTATGCGGCGACGAGAGCGGCAGCAACAACGGGACCAACGGGAACAGCGCGGCTGTTTGTTGAAGAGTGGGTGTGACGGCACGGCGAGAGACCAACAACAGCTGCACGAGCCATGGGCAACGAAGCGAGCGCGGAGGGGGGGATGGAAGAAGGAGCCACTCAGCCGAGCAGAATGAGCCACCTCAGCGAGGAGGAGAGGAAACAGATTGCAGCTGTGCTCTCCCGAGCAGAGGCTGGGGCCACCCTAACACCTAGGTAAGAGGGGGGAGAACAAGCGAGGGGGGGACGTTGGGGGGGGGGGGGGTGATAATACATGAGCATGCATTGCATCCCCTCGGTAGACTCGGGCTTAAGGTGGTATTGAACCAGTACCGGTTGACGTACAGGACAACGGGGAGTACGCGATTCTTTTCCGGCCGAGTTGAGATGAATGGATGCTCGCGGACGGAGAGCAATTGATTGCAGTGTACGGTTTGACACATTTTTTTGAGGGTGAAACGGGCGGCTTGACCCGATCCTTTGTGGTGTGAATGTGTAGTCGCATCGCGTGCAGTCTCCGTGTTTGTAGCCTCTGTACCGTGTAGTTCACGCGCAGGTAGGTGTGTGTGGCCCAACGCGTGATTGCGCTGAGATTTTGTGTAGAGGGGGGGGATGGTGCAGTCCATGTGCATGTATAGCCCCCTTTGTCATTCCACTGCTGGATGAGTTTCGCACCAAGACGTGAGGGTAGTGGGAGAAGGGCGAGGGGGGGGTATTGACCTTACTCCACCACGCTGGTCACTTCTGGTTGGTGAAGGAGGCGGGGGGTATAGAATTGCAGCAATTGTATGGCGACAACGGAAACACGTTACTGATATTAATTGGGAATGCCTGCACTGTGCAGTAATGCACTTAAGGTGGGAGATGGCAGTGTTGAGTGTTGTCTCCTTCAAGTGCGTGGGGTTTCTTCTGGGTTCTCCGGTCTCCTCCCACAAGCCAAACATTCATGGCAATGGAGAAAAAATATCCAAATGCAGGACCCTACTTTGACATATTCATGAGATTCGCTGATGCTTTTCTGGGCGATAATTCCCATTTAGATAGATATCCTTTGCTATTGTCTTTCATCAAAATTAATACTGTGTCGGTCCCAAATTGTTTGTCCATATATATGAATTGCATATATATAGTGTTATACTGTAATATGCTTATATGTATAGTAAAATATAATATACCGTATATTGATCTGTGTATGTATTGTCCTGTATCTGTACATTATATGCAGGCATGCACAGTACAATATACAGCATTTATGGACGCACATACATGATATGTGGATACGCATATTGCATGCAAGCATGCTGCACAAGAATACATGTGTAATGCAAATAAGCATGTTGCAACATTTGATACATATGTGATGTATGTGCAGTATGAGATCTAGCAAATACTCTAATGTTTTGTGCACCCTGCAGATACACCTTCCGATGTATCTCCATTATTTCTCGCCATGTTTGTCAAGGTTTTAAGTGTACAAAGTACCTATACCCCTTCATGATAACCTAATAAGTTCTAGGCCTTTGTCAATCAACTGCTGGATGAAGGCCTCCAGCCATACTAAGTATAAGAAACTGCCCACCCACTCTGTACCGTGTCTGTGTATGTAATTCGTGATTCAAGTGCTTCCTAAGAGCCCCTTAAGACACCTATAGAAGTAGAGCATGCTTGCGAAGTAGAATATATCGTGCAGATACAAGGTTGATTGCTGTTTTATGTTTTGCTAATGGAGTGTCGCAATCCACATCGTGTGCTGCGAGAGCCGTGGTGTTTTCGTGTGTAAGCGGTGTAGGTGGACGTCAAGAGCTACTCATTGTGCTCAGGATGATACTCGCCACAGGCCTTGACTAACGCAGCCGGTCTGCGTTACGCGTGCACGCGTTGTTGAGTTTGGTAATAAACCAACAGTGGCATGAGGCCCTGGCTGCGGTATACTGTGCTGAATATACTGCAGATGAAATTGCGCTGGTGAAGTGAATATATACCACGTGTAATGTATACATAAAGTGCTTACTTGTAGATGCATATGAATGTGTACTCTTGTACATGAATGTGATACGAAGCCAACTACCCAACCACATGCCAACGTTTAGCCAACGTTGAAATGTGGTTGGGCCAAGATTGGCCCAAAGTTGCATGTTTACTGCTTGGAATGCATAGGCATAAACGTTACGTTTATTTGAAGACTCTGATGAGATTTTAAATGTTCACGCAACAAAATATGTATTTTACTTTTTGGTTCTTTCGGTAAAGTCACGTAGAAAGAAAATAAATAAAAAAATAGAACACGACGTTTCGATTGCAACACAAGCAATCCTCATCAGGTACAAACGAATGAGAAAAAACAAACCTAGTAAACTTAGAAATATAATGCAATACAACACAACACAGAGAGTCGGCTAACATAAGTCAACACCCTACCTGGTTGATTACGTTCTTCCAAAGAGTGCAAAATTTATGTAATATCACTTAAAGCCACATAGACGAGCCTCGTGTTAGATTGCCGTGACAGTACAGGATTGGCCTCTTAAACCATTATTTATCATCTTCTCTATATTACATTATCATAAGTGCTTAAATACCCAACACCTTAGAAATGCAATCCGCGTACATGCTGCGTACGGTATGAGCGCTGCTCTCTCGTTCTTGACACACCGCCGACGCTTGACGCCCTTGCAGGAGCACGGAAGGAGGATCGTCGTCAAAAGGGAAGGCATCGCGAGCCACGTCCAGATCCACCTCGCGTGCCACGTCCCCCGGCGATTCTAAAGAAAGCTTGTACCATGGCGAGCCCTCCATGTCGCTGCAAGCCAGGGACGAGGCGATGGAGAAGGGCTCCAGGGGCACTCTGGGAAGAAAATCCGCCCAGGATCGCAAGGGGCCGCCCGACAAAAGCCCGCGGGGTCTGAGTCCCGAAGTCCCGGGACGTCTGGAGCTGTCCAGTGCTGAACGCTTGGCGCATTCGGCCGTGGAGGTGCCTCGGAGCCCGAGCAAGCCGTGGGTCGACACGCACGCCGAGACGACGATGATGACGACGACGAGACCAATGGCCATCCCCGAATCGCAGCACCGGGGCGTCGGGAAGGGTTTCCAGGAGCTACTGTCGCCCGCAAGCCCCGGGACGCCGTACCAAGTGCCGAGGTTGGCGCCGCTGCCCAAGACCACCCTCTGCCCGATCTGCACCACCACGGAGCTGAGCGTGGAGACCCCCGAGCAGCCCAACTACAACATGTGCACGCAGTGTCAGACCGTGGTGTGCAATCACTGCGGCTTCAATCCGAGCCCGCACATCACCGAGGTGCGTGTGTCCGCGGCGGCGGCCGTCGTAAAATAGAGGAGCGGCCCTCGCCTCTCTGCCTTGGGTTATTCTCATCACGATTTCCACAATGACGGTCCGTGTCGTTGGCCGTGCTTTTGTTGTGCGCTGCTTTAAGACTCTTATCGCAAAGCAGTCATCTTCACTGATCTGCTTCCGTTCCTCCCTTAAAACAACCCCCATCTCTTCTTTCATAGCCAATCCTCCTACCCCCGCCTACCCAGCTACGACAAGGCCTACCCCAACCCCTCCTAAACCACTCCCACCTGTTCTCATAACTGTCGCCCTAACTACACCACCACTTTGAATAACCCCACTCTTAATTTCAACCACGATCATCTTATGGACATTTTTGTAAAATAATTCATGTAAAGCGCCTTGGAGTAAGGCGCTATATTAATGTATAGTAGATATGATTCGCACTCAAACACTGATAAAAGGGGCAAATCTCCTTAAATGGGTCTGGCAATTCAGGAACATCTCAAGATGAATGTAAACTTAACTAAAAATGGCATGCCGACTGTTTGAAAAATTCAAGCAGTGGCTATACAGATTATGACATTTTGAGAAGTCTGCCTAAATTTGTGAGTTGTCCATCAATTGCCTGATTTTTTGTGCAATATTTTCAACATATCATCTTCAAAATTATGGTTTGCTTTAAACGCTGAATGACCTATCCAGTCCGCTGGCGAGGATGGACTTGCTTACATCCACTGTCATGGTATTTGAATGAAGTGTACTTAAATGTACTCACAATTTTCCGAAAAATTAATTGCAGCTTTAACTACATATGCCATCCCAAGGAAACACGTGCCGATGTAAGAGTTACCTTTACATTGCTAGTAACACGCTAAGGCGGTGTGCGTGCTTTACCCCCAGCTCACGATTCATCGTATTGGTCTGTAGATGTGTGCAATTGTTACTGATCCGGAATTATGATGGTTGTGTTTTTTGTTCAAGCTTATAGGCCATTGAACAGAAACCGAAGTACAAGAACAATGCAAGCACATTATACACAGCAATTAAACAGGCTCGTTTGTGTAACAACAAACTATACAAAAAATAAGAATTACGTAAAAAATTATTATCATCAGATTCTGTTCCCTAATGCTGTAATTATGTTGCTGTGGATTTGACCATATGATGAATAATATTAAATTATCTCCACTGCTGGATTAAGACCTCCCCAATACCATGTCAGGCAACCAAAACTTTACCAATTTGGGTTGATGAAGGAGGCTAAGGGGCAGGACCGTTTCAGATGCCACACGCCACTGATGCTAGCTGTGGCCGGGGATCAAACTCAGGTATCGGGGTCCACAGCCCACTACACTGGCCACTGCCACCGCTCCACACCATGTCACTATTGCAATGTAAAATTCACGTGGAATGTTTATTTATGATATTGATAAATTACCTGAACGCAAATGATATGCAAGGTGACAGTTTTATCTTCAACGATATCTTTTAAAAGTATTATTTTATACATTTCTGCCGAGGCACCTGAGGCTCTAGTTGAATTAAAAAGAGTGCTCGATGAATCTTGTATCGCTTGAAAATCCACGTTATCGGTGATCCATATTTGCTTTTGGGGAGAAGCTATGTGGGAGTGTTATTCCAAAATTCTGTAATTAAACCGCTATCACCCAGCAAAAGTGTCACGTTCTACAAATGATATTATTTATACGTGGAAATTCCTTGATTGACTTTTGACCAATACTATTTACGACCCTCCATAACTGAATTCAACATAAGACGTGTTCTCTCAAACTGCTTTGAACTGCATCAAGTAATGTAGACGGAAATCAATAACTCGATTTCTGAATGTTTTCCATGTTTTTCGATTCGATTATGTAATGGACTCGATTAACGAGTTCACTACCTGGGATGAAGCTCAAGACGATCTGAGTGAAATGTCGCCGTACGTTGACGCTGAATTCAGTGGTGAATAGTCTCAAGCCACCAGTGAGAAGGAACTTTATTGATCGGAATTTGATCAATATATTGGCACGCGTAAATAATATCTCCTGTAAAAGTGAATCTTGTCTGATGTTAGATCATTGTATTGGGTACGAAAACCTACTTTTATAGTTCAATGTTACTGGTGTCAATCTACATGTTTTTTTAAAAATGAACTACAAATATTTGTCCTGCGTTATTCCATCAATGACGTATTCTTGTGCTCTTAGCCTCTGTGTTACTATCGCGTGGAAACCACAAAGGTCTCCTGCAGATACCTGCCAAATACAGGCATAAGCACGCAAAGGGCACTTGGGGTTAATGCATGATATTGGCTGTGATCTTGAAAGCATTGCCTTCCTTAATAGTGTACTATGAATGCAGCTGTACGTCTTTAAAAATGACTTTTCTTATCTTTGCTCATTTTCTGAAAATCGTATTAACAATAGGCTGTAGTATAATAATTGCATTCCATGATGGTATAGTTAGAGCATGTGCTTTAAACGGTTGTTGTTACGAAATGTCCATTTGTAGAGTCAACGTGTTACTTTTTTAAAAAGCGTCATTGCTGAGACAATTTATGTGATTTCATCATTTGCGCACTGCTTCTCAGTGTGGCTGAAATGGCACTTGCCGAGAGCCATTCAGGGTATCAGCGTACGGTTTAGTAACCTTTGCCGATGTGCACATGGATAACTCTTGCCAAGGAGTGGATAGTACTTGCTGTGTAAGCAAAAAAGTACGAGTGCACGTTCTGAATGAGGCCACACCGATTATATACTTATATATGGAAGATATGTTCACGATTTTCGTATGACGAGAGAAAGATGAAAGATCTGAAAATCGTACCTGGACACGACATTTCGGATGATCCGATTAAAAAAAAAAAGTTCAATTGACCTTCAAAATATCACCACAGGTCACGCCAATTCCACGCCACGACCGCCAAAACTGCCATCACGTGACACCACTTTTTCTTAAATGATCAAATATTGCATGTTTGCATTACTGATGTAACTTAGTGTAAAAACATCTTATTTTTGTGATGACATTAAAACATTCTGTGTATTAGCAATAAAAGGTATGTACTGTACATTTTATTAATGTGAATCAGAAAATACTAAATTAAATCCAAAATTGGGCATACATTTTTTTTTATATGATCTATGATAAAACTTTTTTTTATCCAAAACTCCTTCTTCATGTTCTGAACTTCCACGTTGCTGTTCCGCACATCCATTCCACACGTCCAATAAGCACGGTTGGCTATGTACGGTGCGAAAGAAGTTTAACATACATGCATGTTACTGTCATGACAGTGGAGGGGGGGTGGGTGGAATTGGGGTGGGGCCTGCCAGGCAGATTGGCGGTCTAGCGGCACGAGAGGCCACACAGTTTACAAGCGCTGCGCCGAAGCACTCTGAATCAAATATTGACTGCAACATTGGTGCATCAGAGAGAACATTGTCGTATCACTAATGCCTTCCGATAAACGAGGCAATGCAATTAACCCATATCAACATTTCGAGCACTCAGTTGTTATTGCCACAGTAATTATCAAGGAGAATGGGGGTACACTAAAATGCATTGACATTTAATTTTTTCCATTTTTCACCATCATAGCTTTTTCATCTAGCACATTCTGGTTTTGGATAATTATAGTCACGATAACACTGAGCTTATGAAATGTCACTGAGACACATGCCAATGAGTACTGGCAATGAGAGATAGAGTATATAACAGGTGTGTTGTATGTTTCATCATGACAATAGGCATTCAACCATAAGAGGTTTTTGAGTTAGATCACGTAAATATAATTTAATTGTTAAACTCGTCACCAACCGACACAGCCAATTATTAAGGTTTGCCATGCAAACAAAACGTGCCGATTCGTTACTAGTACAGCACACCGGTGTGTTGGAGAGTAAAGCCACAACATTTACAATTTGAGTACTCGAAGTTTCGAGAACTCGAATTGTAAATATTGTCGAATACTCTAATTCTTTACGTGACAAACCTTAGTAATTGGCTGTGTCGGGTGATGGTGGGTTTAACGACACATTTATATTTACGGGATCTAACCCAAAAAAACCTCCTTTGGATAATATTCGTCGCAAAAGCCTACGTGTTAAACAGGCATATTCAAATAAGATAAAAGTACTTAAAATTGACGATATCTGTTGTATGTAGTGTGAATAAAATGGCTAAATTCGTTAATTGTATTATCTGTAAATCCAAGAAGCATGTGCTGAAAGCATAGTCTACAGAATAATGAGACTAATTCTAATACTGAAAGATGAATAGTAATTGAAACATTAATTAAGTTTACATCGTTTTTCATACCGATTATAGTTTTTTGTCGCACGAAGTGCTATAAATGTTATGTTATATATTAAGATCAACACCATTAGTTATCGTAGAAACAATACAATGGCATCTAGGCATACACAAGGTTACTTCTCAATTTTATATTTTTTCAGTGAATGTGGCCAGTTGTACTTGAGTGATAATATGAATAATAATTCACAGATTTCAATTTAAAGCTTTCGTGACTGCAGGGATTCATATTCTTGGATGTTTCGGTAAAGGGATGTAGAAGGTAAATAATGAAATAAAATAAATAAAACAATAAAATTCTCACGACGAAAATTCTCACAATGCGTTTCATTAGGACGCTGTCTTTCTGACAGCTCTGTTCTTCACCTGAGGATGGCTGCTTGTGTTGTGGCCGAAACATCATGAGAATTTTATTGTTTTATTTTTATTATTGTATTATTTCCCTTTTATGTGACTTTACCGAAAGATCCAAGAATAATAATTCACAGCCCACCGCTAAATGAAGGCCTCCTCCCAATGCTGTGTCCTTTATGGGGGTTGTTTGACTTATACTTCACCGTACTTGTCTGTGCAGGTAGAGGTGAGGATGGGGGGGGGGGGGTTAGAGGGAGCGGACACAGGACCAAACCTGGCTCGCCAGATTCCTAGTGCAGTGTGCAAATCACTGCACCCCCAGTACATACAGGACGCTACTAACATTTTACATGTAAAATATTGTTTGGGTGAAAACATATGCTACACAGCTTTAATGACGGTCAGGGTATGTTATTTTAGAGACTTTTTCAGGCTTGCCTTTTTTTGTTTCAGGTGAAAGAATGGCTCTGTCTCAACTGTCAAATGCAGCGAGCACTCGGCATGGACATGATGTCGCCGCCAAAGCCCATGGGAATGCTTCAACATTTTGAAAGCAGCCAGCCAAAGGCTGCACTCAAGACACCTGATGCCAGCCCATCCAAGCTGCCCTTTATCGAGTGTAAGCCCAAACATCTGTCCTCTGAAAGCCAGGCCAAAATTTCCTCCAGTGATGTCGAACAAAAAAAGCCACACCAGCTTAAACATGGAGGTCCCGATTGTGATGCAGCTGAGTCACTTCTAAAGCCGCTGCAAAGCAAAGCGTCCCGAGTCGCTTCAGACGCCGGTGCCATCGACGATGCCAAACAACGCGGAGCGGGTGACTTGGATCAACCGGGCCAACCGAAGCAGCAGCAAAAATCGAGACAAGGAGATCCTCCGGAGGAGATGCACTTCAAGCCAAAGTCTCCAGATTACGTCCAACTGAAGGTGCAGCAGCAGCAGCCAGTGCAGCCACCACAGCCACGGGATCAACCGCCGCAGGGACATAAACAGCCACATCCACAACAACAACAACGACAACTGGCACAGGGACAACAGCAACCACGGGCGCAGAAGCAGCCACAGCCGCAAAAGCAGCCAAAACCACACACGCAGCAGACACCCCCACAGGCAGATAAGCAGCCTTACACGCAGACGCAGACACACGCACAGCCCCATAAATCACCGTATGCACAACAAGAGCCACAACCACAATCGCATCCCCAGCAACAGCCAAAGCATCGGTCAAAGCAACCAGCCCTCCCAAAAGATGTGAAAGCCGCAGAAACGCCAGCACCGCGCGGTGGGCCAACTCTGCAGCGAGATAAAGAGCAAAAAGATATTCGGGAGAGTGCAAAGCCAAAAGAGATCATCAAAAACTCCGTTGCTGATGAAAAACAAGCAGTGCCAGATGCTGCAAAAGAAGACGTACCTTTGCACGTACAAGTGGGTAACAAGCCACTGACACAGATCACAGAACCCAAGCCAACTGGCCAGCCTGCTCAAGCGTTGGTGCAAACGGACCCATCAACAGCGCGCCCGCCTGCTGATGGCGAGGGTTCAAAACAGCAGCCCCAAATAATAAAACCTCCGACTCCAGAGCATCACGCGTCTCCATCAAAGCCACAGCAAAGCCAAGCCGAAGGCCCCGCAAAGTTTCTCCAAGGAAAACTGCCGACGTCCGCAAGTGCGATTTTCCAGCAGAGTTTGTTTGCCAAACCAGAGGCTCAACAGAGTAAACCGTGGACATTGCCACACCAGCAGACAAAGCCTGCCACCACTTCTGGAGCTACGACACCACAGGAAGGCGTCACTGGAAAGTTGTTTGGTTTTGGTGCATCCCTGTTCAGCCAGGCCACGAATTTAATCTCAACTGCTGCTCAGCCAGGCTCCCAAACGTCTTCTGCGAATGGCTCTCCGGCAAAGGCACCAGCTGCTGCCGCTGCTGTTGGCCAAGAAGGAGCAGCGAAGCAACAGAAATTGGCCAAGAGTAAAGAAGCCGAGAAGTCTACAGCGATAGATAAGCCAAAGCCCACAGCAACACCAACGCAAATGGCACAAAAGCAGAGAGCGGTGGCCCAAGCGCAGAGTAGTGATACGCCTAAGAAGTCGACAAGTGCAGTGCAAGATAAAGTTAAGCAAAGGGCTGGAGCTGCAGATGATGACAAGAAGACGACTACTACTACAGATGTTGAACCAAAATCAGCAGAGCCACATCAGCAGCAGCAGCAGCCACAGCCAAAGCAGCCACGGCCAAGCATTAAAGAACTGCAAGAGACTGCAAGAGCTACGGGAGACCTGCAGCAGCAGCAGCAGCCAAGCGGGAAGGAAATCGCCGATGAAGAACGCGAGGGAACCGTGGAACTGAAGGCAAGCGAACGGGAAGGCGTCGGCACGGTGGGTGGAGGCATCGCCGCGCGTCTCGCGCAGAAGACGCTTTGCCCTCTGTGCAAGGCGGAGCTCAACGTTGACTCCCGAGAGCCGCCCAACTACAACACCTGCACCGGATGCCGGGCCAATGTGTGCAACTTCTGCGGATTCAACCCGGCTCCACATCTGACCGAGGTAAGAGCGGCGGGCGGCACGTGATGCCGCGGGGCACAACCGCTCGTAGCGTACTAAATCCGCGACTGGTCTGATTTGGTCAAATTGCAAACGATGAATGCCCGTGCAATCAACACTGTACTTTAGTTCACACGTTCATAATCCTGCTGTGGTCCATAGATGAAACGGTGAGAACTTTAATGAGTCTTCGATTCAATAGTTAAATTGTGGTGTTTGGTATTCGATGACTTACTCTTCATGCAAGTGGTATGCAAATATAATGCTCCTGTTGCGTTTGGCCAATGGGATAAGTAAGGCTGTACTAACGAGACGACAGAAAATACGGCATGTTCAACAATACATGCGAGTGCGGGGAAAAATGAGACAAGAATAACTTCTAACATTGAATCATGACTGACACTTAGCAGTCCATGAGATCATTATTGTATTGAGCCCCAATATTGTAATGAGCCTCAATAAAATAAAAACAGCGAGGGAAGGCATCAATAATTGACACTCTTCACAACACATTTCTGCCAAACACTTGATTAAGGAATTAATGTTTAATCTCGAGGAATATTCAAATGAGCTTGGAACCAGGCACACTTCCACATTGATACAGTGAACTCAATGAATTGTTTCTCTCGCAAAGGAACACGGAATAAACCTCCCACAGTGTATAAAAGCAGACTAATGATGCACTTTAATATTACTGAAATTCAAATGCGTATCATTTGTCAGTAGAGTGCTTTCTATGATGAAAGCTTTTATATTAACCTGTGTAAAATGTCTGCATTCTCAGCAAACTCAAACATTAATTCCATTGCGGAGCAGTTTATGCGGTTGGATGAGGAAATGGCGTTTAGTAACACAAATGGCGTTAAGTAAGACACAAATGGCGTTTAGTAAGGCACAAATGGCGTTAAGTGAGACACAAATGGCGTTAAGTGAGACAAGCGTGCACATCTGCAGCCCTTTTGTCAATCCACTGCTGGGTGAGGGCCTCTCCACGCCATGCGGGTGTTGGGAATTGTTTGAATCATACTTCACCACGTCGGTCAGTACGGGTTTGTGACGGCGGGAAGAAAAGATGGCAGCATAGTGCAGTCTAACGGTATCGCTTGCGACACTGCCCTCTGCTGATAATGTATCCCTGGCAGCACCGCCTATTTAATTCATGGTGGTCACCCTCCCAAGATGAACCCAGGCTCAGCCCCGCCTAGTAGACATCACGAGATCCAGGTGCATTCCAGGTGATTTTGTCATAGGCACACACTCGTATGATACCTCGTGTTCGCTCCAGGTGAGCTACAGTATATTATAAACGCCACGGTAATTGTTTTTTTTTATTTGTGTGCTCTAACACGCCTCTGACATGTGGACTTTGCTCAACAGCCACTCGCTCTACAACGGCTTAAATTGGCAAACATTTATGCCGGTTCATGACCATGGCCAAACAGCCTTGGCTGAACCACGTTCACTCCTGTGGGGGTTGGTGGAGGTGGGGGAGGTGGAGGTGGGGGAGGTGGGGGGGGGAGGGCACTGCCCTGGTTACAGCGCTGCAGGTGCCACTGGGTGCAGCCCGTTGCCAGGACGGCACCCCGGTCGGCCTTTAGGGAACCACGGACCCGTCACTATGGTGCTCCACCATTTTATGGGACTTGTGGTTTTTTTTTTCACTCCTCGGGATTTGTTTTTTTTTCATTATTATTTTACGTACAGTAAATTACGTGCGTGTTGGGGGGGGGGGGGGCTATTTAGTAATTTTTTTTTTTTACTTTCATGAAATATAATGGGGAAACGGTGCAGCCCGGTAATTGCTTTCTACCACAACTGCTGGTGGAAGGGCCTCCACTAGAGGAAGCTCTTTAGAGAACTCCCTCTAGATAGCGGGACATTGTTTTACTTTTACTCTTCCACGCTCGCCAGTCGAATTGCAAGAGGTAATGATACTGATGACACGAAATGTGATCTAGTAACCATCTTTTTATACCGGGGCATCTCAGAGCGCACTTTACACGCAATAAGCAACTTACATCGCATCTCAGTTTAAGACGCAGTAAGCTTTCGCGACCAATATCATCCATAATAGAGGTTGTTGGGTTAAATCGCGTGAATATGTGTCGTTAAACCCTCCATCACTGGACAGCCAATAAGTATGGTTTGTTACTTAAACAAAACATGCCAATCCCTTACTAGTTCAGCACACGGTGTGTTGCAGAGTAAACCCCACTCCATTTACAATTCGAGTACGACGTTTCGCCAGCAATTACAACGAGCATCATCAGGCGGACAGCCAGAGTTGGTCGCGTCTCACTCATCTCAACACATTTCAAAGGTGGACCCCCGTTGGCAGCTGTCTCTGTGTGGCACAAGGCGACTCGGTGGCAACCTCGCCTGCATACGGGCGGGGGCTATTGGTCTGCGACGATTTCTAGGCGTCGTCATCTTAATTAAAATAATTTGCGGTGTTTTTTAATATCTGGACCACGATGGTCGACTCGTTTCGGACTACCTTGGGGAGGATATTTAACGCAACTCGACACGAGCGAGCCCAGTTACAATACTCCGATCGCAAAACGGATGGGGTTGGGGAGGGGCACAGTAACCCGAATTGGGCACGACAGGACACCCAAGGTGGGCAGCCACGTGTGGGAGGACATGAAAATGTTGTACGGGGAGAGGGGAAACGGGGGAAGATAACAAACGCACTGGGGAAAGAAAAGAGACAGGGAGAGGTGGGGAATAGACGGTGGGTATTTAACGGTTAACGCAAGTGGCAATAACAAAAACTTGAATCTGCGAAACGCGACCTGCCCATCAACCCACTGCGGTGTTCTCATTTACAACCACTGGGCTGGGACGGTGGGAAAGCGATTTCACAAACTCGGCCAACGTTTCAACTGCAGCGCCGGGAGACTGATCGGACGACCTCTGTTTTGCGGGTCCAGTGTGCTCACCGTTGGCCCGGTCAGCATCTCTATTAAAATATTTGTCGCAAAAAAAAATGTTTTCGGACAAGAGTGAAAGTTGTACGGTAGAAGTTTCTTAGAATTTTTTTTTAGGTATATAATTGACTGTTCTTGCAGGACACATTTCACGGGACTCGGGAAGCGAGGCCGGTCCTGTGTTACAAGGTCCAAACAATATGCGGAAAATGACTTCACGCGTCAACGTCACCTCTGCAGTCTAGAGGATCTGGAGACAAATGTGTGAATATCTGAATGTCGAGCATTTGGAGGACTTCGCACCTTATTTGCACAATGCTGGCCCGCACGCATTGATATGCACTGGGCTGAGGCTGATATACTACTGCTCGCTGTGAACCCTGCCTGCCTTCTGCAGTGACATTAAATATTTGCTACACTTGCAGCCATGGTAGGCCCCTGTGCATAGATGGAGATGTGCAGCCCTGCAATTACCGACTCACTCCACTGTTGGTAGTAGTGTTTGGCTTTGCTTAGTATGTATATATGTGTGTGTGTTGGGCTTCTTTCGCGCCGTACGTAGCCAACTGCGTATATGTGATTTTGGATTTGGTCCTTATATATGGAGATGAATGCTGTTGGCATGAAAGACAGCAAGTGACGTTGGCGAGTACCCATGGAGAGGCCAGCCTTGCAAACGAGGGCGTGAGTGGCCAGCACCACGCCCGGCCGCTTTTGTATCCCGAGTGACGATGTTTTTATACACCGGACCAGGTACATTTTTTTAGGACTCAGTCGACCTAGAGGAGATCCAAAACCGGTTCAGATGTTCGTCGCCGATATTGGTCTGTGCGAGGGAATCAAACCAGGGTCGCTGGGTTCGTACGAGACAAAGATCCCCCATATAACCTTAACAAACTTGGGGCAAGTGCTATCAGCGAGCACCTATGAAAGTCAGCACGGCACACGAGGGGGTGGGTGGCCAACACCACGCTCGGCCGCCTTTGTCTCCCTAGTGGCAATGCTTACACACTGCACTAGGTTCTTATTTGAGGCTGAGTCGACCTAGGGGAGGTCCAGAACCAATTCAGATAATCGTCACTGGTGTTGGCCGTGAGCGGGAATCGAACCCGGGTCGCCAGGTTCGTAGCGCAGTGCGATAACCGCTAAACGGCCGCATGAACACGTACACACAAGTACAAATGCACAGGCAACCGATTTATAGCGTTCTCTGTTAAACTGGGAGAACAAGTGCTGTTGGTGTGTATTGTGGCTGGCGTGGCACGTTCGAAAGATATAATCTTGGGGATTATAGTGTTATACTGCATGAACAGAACGTGTAACATATTGCATCGTGTTGTAAACCTTTCATAGACAACTGAGTATTGCACCACGCAAACGTACACGAATTCCTCGTGCACTTTGGAAGACATCGCACGCCGTCGGTGGAATGTGTCATGTTAATGAGATGGCGAGCTATTAATGCAATTTGCCAGACAATGAAATCAACTTACAATCTCGCTAACATTTAAACGAATACGCATGTACGTGCTACTACTTGTAAATAAGTTGCGTGTGAATTTCAATTTAAAGCTTTCGTGACTGCAGGGAATCATCTTCTTGGTTCTTTCGGTAAAGTCACGTAGAATGGAAATAATAAAATAATAAAAAATAAAACATAATAAAATAATTCTCACATATTATTTTATTATGTTTATTTTTATTATTTTATTATTTTCACATATTATTTTATTATGTTTTATTTTTATTATTTTATTATTTCCATTCTACGTGACTTTACCGAAAGAACCAAGAAGAAGTTGCGTGTGTTCTGCATGCGCGGCAGTGCATCGCTCGACATTTTCAAAGCAAATTTAGCCGAAGCGGGCACACTCGGCTTCGACTCGCGTGCTTGTTAAACGTCCACGCTAATTGGAATCAATGTTGCTGCAGGAGACCGGTAACGATTATGCAAAGTCATTTATTTTTAATGGGCAGTCCGTCAGCACACTGAACACCAAATGTATCAAGCACATCCACGTGTAAAAGAGGGGTGGTCAAACAAACGAAGGAGTGCTGCCACAACAGAAAGTA